TCAGATGGAGGAAGACCTACCTAAGACTTAGTAGGCACTGACCTTGTTCACAGTGGTGCCTGGACAATGAAGAGGCATTAAAACTTAGCCATATTTAAGTATCCTGCCCCCTCCAAACAGTGTAAACAAAACAAGCCCTCTATTTCCTGAACAGAACCACAGCGATCAAGACTTTGGTTTGCAAGCTGGGCCCCAGTTGCTTGTGCCTGTAATCCTAATTACTTAGGAGATCGAGATCTGAGGAGCACCCATCAAAGCCAGCCCAGGTTGAAAAAACTCTCCTCTCCAGCTAACTACAAAAAGGCTGGAAGTGGAGTTGTGGCTCAAATGGTAGAGCACCAGCCTTGAAGGGATAAGGCAAGGGACAGTGCCAGACCATGAGTATTGAGGGGGAAAAAGGAAAGAAGGAAGAGAAAGAGAGGGAAAGAAAGAGAAAGAGAAAAAATAAAGACAGACAGAAAGAAAGAAAGATAGAAAGAAGGACAGAGAGAAAGAGAGAAAGGAAGGAAAGAAAGAAAGAAAGAAAAAGAAAGAAAGAAGGAAAGAAAAAAATAAGTATCTGATCTCTCAGTGCTTTCCTTTGTTTCCCCAGGAGACGTTCCACGGGGGTTATTTGGAAAACCTGCCTGACACTCACCAGGCATTTTTCCTTTGGAACCCACTTTGTCGTCTTCACATGAAGCTCCCTCTATACAGAGGCTGAGCCCCCAGGAGAGGGTCAGGAACAGGGCACATAGTATTCACAAGAAGACCAGAGCGATGCAAGAGGAGAAAATGGAGGCTTTCTTTCCTTGATGGCAGAAATGAAGTCACATCTACACTTTGCACCCACTTTAGCTTCTGGAGCATTCTTTTCTTTGTGTTGAAATCAATGAAATGCAGAGATAAACTGCCTGGAGGAGGCTGGGGTTGGGAGATGAGGCAACCTGGGCTGAGTCTTTGAGGGTGAAGAGGCCTTCAAACCCCCAGGGCCTCCTGGAACTGGAGAGAATGACTTTCCTGAAAGAGAGATCGCAGCCCTGCTGATGAATGCACTCCTGCTCTGCCTCCCTGAGGAACCTGGGAATGCTCACACTGCACCTTGTGCCTTGTCCCTCTTGGTTCACATATAAAGTCATGGTTAGCTAAGGATCAGAGTCACAGGAATTTACTCAAGTCCACACGGTCAGCTAAGGATCAGAGTCACAGGAATTTACCCAAGGCCACACAGCAAGTAGGTGGGCATATTGATACTCAAGTCTACTTCATAATCTCCCTCAGTCTCTATTATTCCTTCAGTGCAGATTTCTTCTCTCTCCTCTCTCTCTCTCTCTCTCTCTCTCTCTCTCTCTCTCTCTCTCTCGTTGGTCTTGGGGCTTGGACTCTGCACCTGGGTGCTGTTCTTGAGCTCTTTAGCTCAAGGCTAACACTCTACCACTTTTAGCACCACTTCCAGTTTTCTGAATTGGAGATAAGAGTCTCACAGACTTTCTTGCCTGGCTGGCTTTGAACTGTGAGCTGCAGATCTCAGCCACTCAGTAGGTAGGATCATAGGTGTGAGCCACCAGCACTCAGCTGAAGTTTCTTTTTGTTCCTCCTTTTCTTCAAAGTTTTAAATAGAGAAATGATCACCCAGAATTGCTTGATTTACTGACAGTGCATTTTTTTTCAGCCCCATAGAACATTCTGCTCAGGGCTTAGTTACTGAGGTAGCAGCTGATGCTGCTTTTTGCCCTAAGGAGCTGGCTTAGAGATTACCTTCTTTCAGTCACGGAAAGAGAGACTCTGGTGTTCCACTGGTTTTTCTTGCTGCTAAAATAAAACCAGGCTAATCCCTCCAGCAGCCAGCATAACAGGTGGCTGCCCTCCAGCACTGGTCAGAGGTGTGAAGAGGTCATTTTTTTAATGCACTCAGTTTTCCCTCCTGGCTACTTTTTCTCAGGCCTGCTCCAACTGAACTGATCTTATTACCCTGTACTTGATCTGAGGGAGCCTCTCCAAGGTCATTGCTTTTCTTGGTGATTCTCCCACTGAACTTGGCCTTCAGAGTCAGCTAGGCTTTTGCTTTTAAAGAGCAACATGCGTAAATGTAGACAAAAAGATAGCATATGCATTGCAGACAAACAATATTCTGTGGAGGTACTAAAGTCTCTAATTGGTGTAGTACAAACACTCCTCAAGACCTACATTTAGAATAGATCTTTATAAAAGCCTGACCTGGCCTGGAGTTTTAGCCCTGTTACATGCAATAGAAATAACCACCAGGGGTTGAGGATTTAGCTCAATGGAAGAGCATTTGCCTAGTAAATACAGGGCCCTGAGTCTTCAGCACCACAAAAAGAAAAGGAAAGAAAAAAAACAAAAACAAAAAGACCATGATGGTGACTATATAATAATGAGCAGACTAGCTCTAGGAAAAGAATACTGAAACCAAGCCCTGGTCCTAGTGTAGGAGACAGCCAGGGGTTTTCTCTCTCCTCCCTCAGCACCTCCTTTTAAGGTTCAGAGTCATTTACAAGGAAATGTGGACAGAGCCACAGGTGAAGAGACAGAGAAAGTATATTCTTTTTAGTAAATAGAAAAGGGCCTGACTCAGAAGTTGAAAAGAAGCAGCAGCTAACAAAGCAGTTAAACTTCCCTCCTTAATTGCTAAGTTACAAGGCAGAGGTGCCCTGGAGACCTTAGAGAGTTTAGGATCTAAAATCCACCTGTCCTTTGTAATGGTAAAAATTAGAGACCTGAAGATGGGGGAACTTGGAATGGAAGCCCTCAAGCTCACCTCATTGTTGTTCTTGTGTTTGGGTTAGGCCCAAAGACATCTATATATATCTCAGAATAAGTAACACCCATCTTAGCTACCCAGAACCTTTGCCTAAAGGTTGGAAGGCGCTAAGGGACTGTGTGTGTGCTTCCCTAGCTCAGAAAGCATAATGGCAGCAGATAACAGCTGCTGTTTTTTTGCCTTCAACTCCCATTTCCTTCACGGGGAACAGGAACTATCTCCACTTTCTCTACTTAAATAAATCTTACTCTTGAATCACCTAGCCATTTCCTTGCTTTAACCACTTTAAGTGTGTGTGTGTGTGTGTGTGTGTGTATGTGTTTATTCAATTGTTGGTGACACTAAGGATTTAGGCTCTTCACCTCTCCATCCCCCACTGATAACAACAGCACAGGAACCCAGCAGTGTGGATGACACAAAGTAAATGAGATAGCCCACAGGATGTGTAGCTGGCCACCTTCGGACAACTCATGGTGGGTTCTACACGACTTTCCACATTTCTCCGCAAACATGCTTCCAGATGGTTAATGCATCATTTGATTTATTCAGTCCAGGTCGCAGGGCCATTTTGGCAACTTATTTGTCCACCCTTCCTTAGTGGATCCTTTGTGGATTAGACACCACTGAATGTGTTGAGAGCAGTAGGTCAAGTCCGCTCATAGTTACGCAGATTTGACAATTTCTTTTAGTTGTTACATTAACACAAGCATTTAATGGGTGACCTCCAGAAGGCCCATAGGCCTATTTTGGTGTTTTTAAAATCAAGAAAAAAGTTCAAATTTCCAAAGTACATATTTGAGCATTATACAAATATTGGAGAAAATGCTAATTTTTGAAAAGAGAAGGCCTGATCCATTTTTTAAAAATGAATGACCAGGAAAGAAGAGATGAGAAGTGACTTCAATTTCAATAGCAAATACACATATTTGCATGATGATCCTTTAATGACATCATGCTGATTCTCTGATGCCATACTTCAGGCAACCAGGCATCTTGGTCAGAACAGGGTTCTACTCCTCAGGGCAGGGTTGCCAGAGAGCATGAGAAGGGATCTGGGATGCTGAGCTTTGCCACACCTTATTGGGGGAAAGAATGAGAGTCAGAGGCAAGAAGAGGTAACACTAGGTTAGCATTTTGTAACCAGCGAGACAGGGAACACGTGCGTCTATCCTGAGTTATGAACAGTTCTGAGAGAAAGGCCTGGGGCCCTTGGTAGATGATGCTCCATCATGGAGAACCTCCAGTAATAACCATGGTAAGAACGTTTATTTCTCTTCCAAAGGTAGTATGTGAATAGCATGGAGCTGTGTGGTTGGAGCTGAGTAGGCACTGTTCCTTTGTGGGATTTGCCCTGGGAGCCTGAGTCCTTAAGCGAAGGCCGGTGTACTGGATGCTGGTGTTTCCAGTCCCTTACCACTGTCATTCATTTTTCTTGTTTCTCCTATTGACACAAGTCTCCCTCTCCCACCATTTCCCCTTTTATCCTGGAACCGAGCACATATCTACAGAGTAACAGGGCCTTTCCAAGAATTTAGGGTCGGTTCACAGCAGTGAGATGGAGACACTAAGAAATAGGTGAGCCCTCTGGCCTTGGTCTTACTTTGGGTTATTGTTCAGAGGAGTGTGTGACAAAGCCGAATCGGGAGTCTAATGACTCCCCCATGCCTCCCCGGGGAACCATTCGATCTTCCTTCTAAGGAGGCCATTAAGTTGGTGCTACTGGAGCATCTGTTCCAGCTGACTATGGGTTTGGGTCTTCTCTGCAGCTTCCACCATACTTTGAGATGTCACTCCTCCTGGGACCTTGGAGACATGAGGCGATGACTTGGTGGCTCAGAAGTGTGAAGGTGGCCACACCAATGTTTCTGGGTGGAAAATCCAGGTGGTGGCTGGCCATGTTGGGCAGGATGACAGCTGAGGACAAGAGCGTGGCGGGCAAAACTCTGCCACATCTTGGGTGAGGGTGGAGGTGCCCCATGTCTCAGCTGTAAATAGAAATGGAGAGTTTCCAACTTTTTGAGGGTTTGCCTATTGGCATGGTTTCCATTCTGCTCTTCGGGAGGTTTGGATGGCTCAGAGCAGCTCTCCTTCCTATGCACACGTAGGTGGAGTCCGCTCCACAGGCGGGAACGGTGCATTGGCAGTGCCATGTTACCTGCAGTCACTGTGTTTTTATTTTCATTCAATACTGGGATTTGTACTTAGGCCTTTTGCTTGCTAGGCAAGTGCTCTACCACTTCAGCCATACTTGCAGCTCATGAATTTTTTCAGGAAACAGCACCAAGATGGATGACTCTCTCTCACCTTGTTATGCTTGAATGCTCAGAACACAGGGATCTGGTCTCTGCGAACCACATCCAGGTCATCATCCAGAGTCAACAAAACCTAAAGGGAGAGGAACAGAGACCAGAAAGGAATGCACAAGGCCAAATGAAGTCCTTGCTTTTCTGCTTTATATTTTAGGCAGTAATCTGCGGTCCCTTGCTCTTCACTGGCACTGAATATAGTTATGTAGTTCATTTGTCCCTTAAATACTTGTGTGAGTTTATTATGTGCTGTTCTCTGTCTCTCTCTCTCTCTCTGTAAATTGAACTAAGGTCCTTGCGTTCTCATTTAGCTTTTTTGCTCAAAGTTGGCACTCTGCCACTTGAGCCACACCTCTTACTTCTGGCTTTTTTTGTTGTTTAACTGGAGATATGAGTCTCTCATGGAATTCTCCACCCAGGCTGTTTTCAAATTGTGATCCTAAGAGCTCAGCCTCCTGAGTAAGCTAGGACTACAGGCATGTGCTACCAACACCTGGCAATTTGCTGTTATAGATGCTGGAGTTACAGCTTAGAGTGGAAGAGGCAAACATCCCTAGGGAGCTTACATTCCAGAGAGGGTTTAGACACAAAAGGAACTCATGAGTCAAAAATAGTTTTGGAGGTTGTAATATATGTTGAGGATTAGACTTAAACTAGGGAAGGGACATAGGAAGTATGGGGTGGGGTGGTAGAGACTTGGATAGTGTCATTCATTGGAAAGATATTTAAGACCTAAAGGAAATAAAGTATTGTTGCATAAAGTAATGCTGTATAAGATATGAACCTTTGTCTTCCATCTTTCATTCCATCATCATGAGGATCTCTTAGCACCACTCTGGCCTCATCACAAAGAAAGCCCTAAAGAAATGTTTGTAGAGATTGGTTAAACTTCCCACACTGGCCACAAGGGGACAGGCCAGCTCTACTCTTACAAGGACTATGATGGGAGCCTAGGAGCCTGGTGGTGGTGGTGTCAATCAGACTCGTGTATGGAAATGTCAAGTAGGATTAGAAGGTTCTGAGAGCTATTATCTTGGATTGACAAAAACATGCTGGGTTCTGGGAAAAGGGTGGAGCAAAATACAAAGGAGACTACAGGAGAGATTTGGAACAGACTGGTTAGAAAATGAGCCTCTCTAGGAATCTGTGAAATATTCATATTCAGTGAGCCTGGAGGAAGGGAAGGACAGTAAGTCCACTATAAGAAGAAGTAACCCAAGATTACGGAAATTTTTAGTGGGAATTCTGGGCAAATGAGGCTAATAACCAATTCAGTCCCAATGTGGTGTGCAACGTAGGGAAAATAACTTTCTGTCAAAAAATATTAACACATAGGTCAGGTACAAGTGCTCATACCCAGCTACTCAGGAGGATGAGATCTGAAAACAGAGGTTTGAAGCCAGCCCAGGCACACAACTCCATCGGATTCTTAAATCCAATTAAGCAGCAAAAGTCCAGATGAAGATGTAGCTCAAGTGGTAGAGAGCCAGTCTTGAGCAAAACAGCTAATCAAGAGTGTGAGGCTTTGAGTTCAAGTGCCAGTACCAACACACACACACACACACACACACACACACACACACACACACACCCCAGAAGTAAAAGGAAATTGAAAATTAAGATCTCACCAAAGGCTACAACACTAGCAAAAAAAAAGTCTTTATGTTGAATTGCAATGAAGAACTGGAAAAATAAAGACTATAAAAGAGGGTATAAGGAAGGGCAGAAAACAAAAAGGTAAAGAGAAAAGAAAGCAACAAAAAGATATGATAATCCTATCTCACCAAAAATGAGAAAAACAGGGCAGTGGCGGAGAGGAAGTGCCAGATGTCGTGGTCATCGAAGAAGTCTAGCAGGACACACTCGCGATTCTTCTCCCGAGACTCAGCTGGGGTTCCCTGAGGAAGGAGAGGCAGGATGTGGGCAAGATTCTCACCATCCAGTGTTTCATGCTTTGACATTTAGGAAGCTAAACATGCTCCTAGATGTCTCAAAAAATTAGAGTCCAAGAAAACCTACCTACATGTGAACTTATACACAACTATTCACAACAGCATCGTGTATCATAGCCCAAAGTAGAAACAACCCAAATGTCTTCTGGCTCATGGATGCACAGACAACATGGGGTAGGTTCCCACAAGGGAGTTGTGTGTGTGTGTGTGTGTGTGTGGGTGGGTGTGCCAGTACTGGGGCTTGAATTCAGGGTCTTAGTTTTCTCTCTTTTCCCATTCAACACTGGTGCTTTACCACTTAAGCCATACTTCCACTTCTGGCTTTTTGATGGGTAATTGGAGATAAGAGTCTCATGACTTTCCTGTTCAGGCTGGATTTGAATCACAATTCTCAGTTCTCAGCCTTCTGATTGGCTAGAATTAGAGTTGTGAGCTCTCAGTCACAGTGGAATATGAATCAGTGATAATAGGGCATGAGGGACTGACCCCATTGAGCAACATGAAGAAGTCTGACCCAAAGTACACAGGTTATGTGACCCCATTTACATAAAAAAGTCCAGAATTAGCAAATGTACATAGACAAAAGTTAGCAGTTGACAGTTGCCATCAGATTAGGGAGAAACAGGGAGTGGCTTCTCACAATGATCAGTTTTCCTTCTGGGGTGATGAAAATGTCCTATAATTAACTATGGTGATTGTTAGGATGGAAAGCTGAGACTTCCTGTCCTGTGCCTCAGATTGAGCACTGACTTGGGAGGCCTCCGCTTTCCTGTCTGTAAAATGGATGTAGTAACACCACACACTGTATTTGCTGATGGATGGTGGAGAAGATGCATGGTAACTATCTATTGGGAATAGGAGTCATGAGAGAATTTCCAAGTGTCTATTGAGACTTACATCCCTTCAGAAGGAATCTGGCTATTTAGAGAAGGTAGAAGGAAGGAAGAAAGCAACAAATTTAGTAAGAGACGGAGGCAGAAAGGTCAAAAAGGCTATTTGCTTACCTCCCAGCTGCTCAGATTCTGGAAGAAGAAATACAGGGCGGCGGCCCACACCACCGCGGTGGCCACGATGCAGAAGAGTGGTACAGGAAGAACCTTCTCAGAGCTGCGAAGCTGTGGGGAGGAGATGCAGGGGTAGGGAAGATGGAGCCATTACCACCCACCAGGCCAGGGCGCTCCCAGCTCCCAGCCTCACCTACCTTCATGATGATGTAGAAGGCCAGGTACAGCAGCAGGTTGCAGATGAAGATACCCAGCATGTAGGATGCAAAGTCCCTGGGCCGGTAGATCAGTCCAAAGAGAGCACTGAGGACAGAGGAGGAGGGAAGGAGATTGTAGGAGAGAGAAGATGGATTTGTAACAAGGTTGGATTTTTCACTGCTTCATTCCTATTTGGGGGGGGGGGGGCGAGGAATGAGGAGGAATTTGTTTTAAAAGCCCACTTACAAGTCCAGTGTAGTGGTTCCAGGCCAGTCTAAGCAATAAAAAACTGGGTGTGGAGGTGTATGCCTGTTACTTCAGCTATCCGGGAAGTATAAATAGGGGGGTTATAGCCTAGGCCAGTCTGGGCATACAGGTAAGGCTTTATTAGAAAAATAACACAAATTAAAAGGACTCTGTATGTGTGTGTGTGTGTGTGTGTGTGTGTGTGTGTGTGTGTGTGTGTGTGTCAAGTGGCAGAGTATTTGCCTAACAAGCATAAGATCCCAAGTTCAAACCCCAGTACTGCCTCAAATCCCCACTTTAACCTATAGTCACATAGGTTAAGGACATGAACATGTTCTGAGAGATGCATCAATGAGTGATTGTGGCATTGTCCAAATATCACAGAGAGTACTTAACACGAACCTGGGTGCTTACTGAGGCACTAGGTGATATCATTTTATGGGGTCACTGTTGTGAAGATGGTCCTCTTTTGATGGAAGTATCACTAAACATGGCAGTATAATTAGTTTTCAATTTGTTATCGTTTTTGGAATATTTATTTTTCATGGTAATGCCAAGTGGACATATTTTGTGCAGTCCTTTTCTACTTGAAATAAAGCTTTCCAGCCTCCTGAACTCTTTTGTGATTATAAGCAACACTGATGAATAATTGAATACCTCAGACATATCGTATTTACTTTTTCAATATAAGATCAGTTCCATAGAGGGGATTACCACAAGTAGAATGATCTCAAGAATTGGCTAAAAACAATACAAAAGTGTGCTAACTGTCCATTTGTAAATGGATACTGGTTTACTTTGGTTGAGGTTTGGCTTCAATTTTGATTCAAGTTTCTATTTCACATTATAGTAAAATACTTTATTACTCTTCTTCACCTCCTATCTGATATTGTTTTAATAAATACACATTGACTCACAAACTTTAGAAAATCTTTATCTTGACCATAAAAACACAGTAAATGAAAGCAACAAGTGGACAATTGGGTTACATCAAACTGAAAACCTTCTTCACGGCACAGAAACAGTCAATAGAGTGAAAAGAGAGACCACAGAACAGGAGAAAAGATTTGTCACATACATAGCTGACAAAGGATTGGTGTTTAGAACATATAAAGCACTCAGAAAGACTTCACAAGACAAGCAATCCAATTTAAAAATGGGAAATGACCATGTCTAATTAATGACTATGTCTAAAAAATGACTATTTCTAATCAATCAGCAAAATGCTGGTCTGGAGGGCTGGCTCAAGTAATAGAGCACTAGCTCTATCTAGTGAAAAAATTTGGTTAAGACAGTTCTCAAAAGGGCTATAAGTGACCAATAAATCACTGGCTATCAGGAATACGCAAATCCAAATCACAACCGCATTCTAGCTCACCTAGTTTAGAAGGGCTATGACCAACACACACACACATACACACACACACACACACACACACACACATGCACGCACACACACACATGCACGCACACACACACATGCACGCACGCACGCACGCACGCACACACTCACCCCCTGCAAAAAAAAAACAAATAGTAAAATAACATGCTGGCAAGGATTTGAAGAAAAAGGAAGTCTTTTACATTTGCTGCAAATTAGGATAACCATAATAGAAAAACTGTATGGAGAACTCTCAAAGAAACCTAAAATCAGATTCATCATATGATCCACTGGTGTATGTCCACAGGAAATGAAATCAGTATACCAAAGAAATACCCACACACACCCATGTTTATTGCAGCATTAATCATAATAGATAAGGTATGGATTCAACCTAAGTCCATCAGTGAATAAATAAATATAGAAAATGTGCCAGGTTTTCACAAACCTATAATTCCAGCTACTCAGGAGGCTAAGACCTAGAGACACTGTGTTCTAAGCCAGCCAGGGCAGAAAAATGCAAGAGTCTCTAAGTCTAATTAATCAGCAAAATGCTGGTATGGAGGTGTGGTTCAAATGATAGAACACTACCTGTTAGTGAAAAAATTAAGTCCAAGAGGCCTGAGTTCAAGCCCTGGTAACTGGCAAGAAAGACAGAATGACAGAAAGAAAAAAGAAAACACACACACACACACATATCCATACTGGAATATTAGTTGGTCATAAAAAAGAATGAAATCTTATCACTTGCAGCAAAATGAATGGAACTGAAGAACATATGTTAAGTAAAATAAGCCTGTAAAAGACAAGTATTGTAGCATATTCTCTCATATGTGTAAACTAACAAGTAGAGGAGAGAGAGAGAAGAGAAAGAAGTGCTAGAGGAGAAAAAGAGATAGAGCTAGAGACAGATAGGAAGAGAGAGTGAGAAGAAAAGGGGGCCTGGATGTTAAAGATAAGTAGCAGTTGAGAAGTGGAGGGAGGGTGGATGGATAGAGGCTGATCTGATCAGGGCATGGAATGTGCATTGAAACATCCTCCAAACCTCCACCGATGTGTGCAATTGCCATGTCTATAATTTTTAAAATATATAAAAATTCTGCATCTAGCCAGTGTTTTGGTAAGTTTCTAACATCTCTATTAGAATCTATTGACTAATTTTGGGTCAGCACCTTCCTGTTTTATTATTATTTTAGAATATGTTAGACTATCTGGTTAGGTTATCTTATCATAATTGTTGGCTACATCTAGCTACTTAAATTAATTAGAATTAAGTAAAAATAAAAAATACAGTTCCTCAGTCACATGAGCTACATTTCAAGTTCTCAGTGTTCACATGTTAATAATGCTAGGAATTGTAGAGTGAAGAACATTTAGATAAAATGTTCTACTTATTTATATAGAAAGTTCTATTGGATAATGCTGGCCAATCATTATTATTCTTTGGTCCTCTTCTATTATTCAGAGACCTTTGAAATTTTTGCTTTAGTAGGCAAATATACTTTAGAATAAAATCATATTAACTTAATTCCACTTCTAAATTTATGCACTAACTTGAGACGAGATAATGTTATAATAGTTAATCTTCCCACTTAGGCCTTGACATCTTTTTTCATTTAGTTAACTTTTACTTTATGTCTCCTAAAAAGGCAATTACATTTGCTTTAGAAAGATTCATCACACTTCCAAATTTATTCCTAAGTACTTCACTTGTAAAGTTATTATTAATGGACTTTGATTTTATATTCCAACAGACTTTGTTTTATGTAGTAGAAGAATTTCCTTCTTTCAGATTTTGAAATTGTCAGTATACTAAAACACACTGCATCTTGCCTCGTTTGTATTATTATTGTTGGACTTGTTCTCTCTCAAATGTAAGTATGTAAATATTAGCTGGATGCCAGTGGCTCACGCTTGTAATCCTAGCTACTCAGGAGGCTGAGATCTGAGGACTGTGGTTCAAAGCCAGCCTGGGGAAGGAAAGCCTGTGAGACTCTTATCTCCAATTAACCACTAGAAAAATCAGAAATGGATCTGTGGTTCAGACTGATAGAGTGCTATCTTTGAGTAGCAAAGCTCAGGGACTGAACCCAGGCCCTAAGTTCAAGCCCCATTACTGACAAAAATATATGTATGTATGTATGTATGTATGTATGTGTGTGTGTGTATGTATGTATATCTATCTATATGCTTCCACATACATACTCTTTCTCTGAACACACACACACACACACACACACACACACACACACACCATATTTCTTTTTCAGAACAATATGGGAATGATCCCTTCTAAAATAACATTGATATTAAATCATGTGATATCTGTCTCCTGGGCACTCACAGTGTTCTATACCATCACAGCTCATGCATCTTTGGAGGATCTGCTATCTACAAAACAGTGTAAAAAGAGAGGCCCCTTGTCTTGTCTTGTGAGCAGATTATAGAGAGGCAGAGACAAGCCAGGCAATTCTGAGCTCCTGAGACCACAGTGACAGTTGTTCATTATAAAGTGGTTGGTTACTTTCCTCTTACCAGTGCCATGTCTTGTGTAACTAAGGCCATGGAGTCAGCTTCTAAAGAGGAGAGTAGGGCCTAGAAATGACTACCACCTGCCTCATCCTGACTTGCTGCAAGCAGAGGAGGGACTCAAAGGCATGGACTTTGCTCCTCTGCTAGGAGGCCCCTTAGGACGATGACAGTGAGAAGTGTCTTCCAGCAGCTCTCTCCTTCAAATAAGATTGCAATTCCCATGACTTGATTCAGAATGTGTGCCTCTTTCTTCATTCCCTTGTAAGTCCTAATGTGTGCCAGGAATTTTCTCTCAAAGGGTATTCACTCAGAGAAGCATATCTGCTAAGAGCCATAAATAAATCAAACTTTTTAGTTATTTTTGAGTTATCAACAATAGAGTTCACATCATCAAAATGAGACAACGTTGTATAATTTTCAGCTAGAAAAAAAAAGTGTTGTACTGTTCTATTTGGAGTTCATTTGAAGAACTAAGGCAAGGGGAGGAAGAGGGATGTGAAGAGGAAGTGTATGGGGTATGCAGAAAGAGACCTATAGGGGAAGAAAGAAATAGGAAAGAGTTGCATACATGTGCATGCACACATTCACACAGCAAGAAGAGAAATTTTTGTACTATAAATACATGCTAAAAATAGCAAAAGAAAGAAAAGGAAGAAAGAAGGAAAGATATGGAAGGAAGAAGGGAGGAAGGGAGGGAGAAAAGAAAGGCAGGATGGAAGAGAGGGAGGAAAGGAAGAGGGGAAAAAGGAAAGAAGAAGGGAAAAAGAAAGAGGGAAGGAAGGAAAAAAAAGAAAGAAGCAAAATTCTGCAGTAGAGAATGTCTACTGGGAAGCCTTTATTAAAAGTTCTATAAAATAATTTGAAACTGTGTTGCAGTTTTGTGCTTACTGCCATAATATTTATCTATCCTCTCTCTCTCTCTCTCTCTCTCTCTCTCTTTGTGTGTCTTTCTGTCTGTTCTGTCCACAAATGTTTGTCATATTGAGCAAATGAACTCAATCAACTCATCAATGCTTTAAAAGAAGCTACCAGAGTTTCCCAGTGCTTTCTTGGCAGGAGAAAAAGCAACTTTTCACTAACTCTCTAGGAAAGCACAGTCTTACCCTCTCCTTATTATCAGACTTCCTTAAAAAATGACAGTGCTGAGTATGGTGGCTCAGCCTGTAATCCAAGCTGCTTGGGAGGTAGAGCTGGGAAAATTGTGGTTTGAAGGCAGACTGGAAGAAAAAGTATGACCTTGTCTTGATAAGAAAGTGGGATGTGAAGGTTCACCTGCAATCCCAGTTATACGTGAGGCAAGCGGAGGACAATCCTTGTCAAAGGCCAGCTCTGGCACTAGTGAGAGATGCATCATGAAAAAATATCTGGCTGGGAAGGTGGCTCAGTGGTAGAGTGCTTGCCTTGCATGCATGAGGCCCTGGGTTCGATTCCTCAGCACCACATACGCAGAAAAAGCCAGAAGTGGTGCTGTGCTCCAGTGGTAGAGTGCTAGTCGAGTTCAGGCCTCATGATTTACAAAAAGAAAAAGAAAAAAAAATATCTGAAGCCCCAGGCTGGGTGAGGGGCTTAAAGGGGGTAGAGATCTTGTCTGGCAAGTACAAAGCGCTAAATTAAGAAACCAGCAAAGAAGGAAGGAAGGAAGGAAGGAAGGAAGGAAGAAGGAAGGAAGGAATAGGAAAAGACAGTCAAGGAAAGTTAAACCATAGTGTAACAAACATTAATAAAAATAAAGGCTTACTTTCTTCAGACTACTTACAAAGACCAATTAACCAGATTCCCCACAACAAGCAACACCATTCTATCCTGGAAAAGAGAAAAGAAAACATTAAATGAGAGGTTGAACAGAATATTTTCTTGTATACTGGTACTGAACACATCAACTCTGGAAATTCAAGTGCTTTGCTGAGAACTATTTTCTGTTCTAAAAACAGCCTTGTCTAGGATCTGATACTGACTTTCTACCAGGGCCACAGAGCAAGGCCCTTGACCTTGGCGTCTCCATGAAAGAAACTATCAGCAAAGCAGAACCTGGATAGCTCCTCCCCGTTCCTCCCCCAGCTCTTGCCCAACCACAATGCATTAGATTCCAGCAGTTGAGCCCACGTCTCAGCGCTGTGTGTCTTTCTTTTGTCAGTTGTGGGGCTTGAACTTTGAGCCATAGCTCTACTTCCAGTTTTTAATTGGGAATAAGAGTTTCATGGAACTTTTCTGCCTAGGCTGGCTTCGAACTGCGCTCCTCAGATCTCAGTCTCCTGAGGAGCTAAGATTATAGGTGTGAGCCATTGGTGCCCAACTCCAAATGATTTCCTCAGCTTTATGTGGCTTTGGGCTGGATATATCCTGTTGCTGTGGGACATTCTCTCTTGATCTTTGTCCACAGCAATTATGATTATTTAAATGATTGGTATATATGTTTTTTTTTTAATTCAATCTCTGTAAACTAGCAAATATTTTGTTTACAAAAATGGGAAAATACTCTCATCTTTTTTTAAAAGAGGAAGTAATATTCTTCTCTCACTAACGGGACCCCAGCCACTCTGAGCTATCTGGTCCTTCTGATTTCTGTACCTTTGAGTGATAGCCCCCAGCCTCGCCTTCCTGCTGTTCTTCTACTTTCTGGGAAGAGGCCAAGAACAGAGAAGCATGCACATACCATGTACAGAGGCCGACTACACTGCTGGACACAGTCTGTGTAGAACACCATAGCAGCCCGTCGGAAAATCCCCAAATCTGCTGATAACACAACTGAATCAAGAAAAGGCTTAAGAGAATACAAATGTGGGGCAATCAAACCATAGGGAATGCAGCTAGGATAATACCATCTTTGCTGTATTAAGTTGCATCAAGATGCTCTGTATATAATGGGTGAACAATCAATATATTCTCTAAAGATGCTATTGTCACGAAGGGCACTAAGTCCATGCATCACAGAGAAGACAGGCAAACAAGAAAGACATGAATAACAAACTCCGCAAATCACATGGGTAGCTGGTAACCCTTACGATCTCTATTTCTCAATGTGGTTATGAATTGGTAAGAATTAAGCCAGAGGATCCTGGGTTGTCCTCAGCAGGTTCAGAAAGCCTATCTGTATTGCAACCAGTCAGAAAAATCAAAAGGCTGCAAATTAAGATGGAGAGAAAAATATGACAAAGCTTTAAATAATGCAGTGTAAAAAGACACCATGAAATGCCATCAATGCGCACATTATAACAAGAATGAATCAAGGTCAAGAGAGGGGCTGTCAGTAAACTGTCCACGTTGTTGATATCAAATGCAAACCCAGTCTGCTCAGAGCCAGCATTCAGTGTGGGTCCCCACTCTGTTGGGGGTGCTATTTCTCTTTAAGGCTAACCATCTACTGAACTAACCATGAAGGAGGGCCTTGGCCTTGTAACAGACCAGCCTCTACCTACGCAGCAGGTAGAGGCTGAGGACAGCCTGGCCTTTCTCCCTCTCTTTGTGTCCTCTCTCTCCAACACAGCTTGTCTGACCTGGAAGAGGGTATTCAGGGATCAGAGCTGGCATACACACACCCAGAGCACTTTGACAGGAAACAACTGAGAGCCCTAGGGAGGATGGCAGGACATTACCTGTGTCAGACACATCTGAATCAGTAGGAAGCAGAGAAGAAATGAGAGAAAGAAATGATTTGTAATACGGAAACCAAACGGATAAACTACTGGTCATTTTATTTCATTTTCTCAAAACAATAACTACAATTATATTTCCTAATGATAAAAGTAATATTTGGTTATCACAAAGGACAGAGTCCCTCATTCTGTGATTCCACATTCCATTGAGATTTCTCTCTCTGTGTATCTACTATGGTGTGCCAACTTGTCATTTTTATCATCTGTCTTCTCCTGAGCAATCCCTGAGGTCTCTGTCCTGGGCTCTGGGATCTCAGAGTGATCTGCGCAAGGTGTTCTCCATGCGCCAGCCTACATATGAAACATTCTGTCTCATCACTGCTGCCTCTCCTGGTCAGTATTTACTTTCTAGTGTCATCTGAGGGCCCTAGGGAAAGCATGCGGTAAGAAAGCAAAGGCAGCAGATGATATGAATAGAGAGGTTGGAGTTGGCAGAACATCACCTCCAAGGTTCATGAATCCAATACTTCCTGCTAGGGACTAACTTGAATCACCATCATTATCACAAAGAAATTGCAGGTTTTCCTTTTGATTCTGGTACCCCTGTAATCACCAGAGAAAGACTCCCTGGGCACAGAACTTGAACAGTCAGTTAATTCCAAGTGGCCCTTTCTACTTGCAACATGTCTCTCTCTTTGTATCAGAAAAGGAAACTGACATGTCTGAACCATGCTGTGGATTCCACACAGTCCTTTGGGTAGATGGTGAGGATCCCCATCAGGATACTGCATGGACAAGGGAGGAGAGTGATCTTAGAGCAATTATTTCCCTATGAGGCTGCCTCAGGCTGGCAATGTATGTCAACTAAAGGTCACTGCTTCTTTCAGTGTGATTAACGGTCCTGGCAAGAATTCCTCTCCAGGATACATTTTGGTAACGTCTTCTCCTTTGTCCTTTTGGGTTCATGGAATAAACTCACATCAGTCTTTGTGTGTGACATCTTTTTTTCTGATGGGATTCTCAGAAATTATGACATGGCTGTAATATAATGTGTTATCTTTACTTCATTTGAAAGATAGACTGACTTAGTTACATTACTGTTATCCTCACTAACTCCCTTAGTATTCATGAACATGGTAATGGAAATTCCCTTTATCTATGTCTGTGCTTTTAAATGGGTTAGTCCTTCCTCCTAATACACATTTAAATCCCAGCGCCTTGTGTTTGCTGCAGGAGCTGTAGGTGTGCCTCAGTGCTGAGGTCTGGCACACTTAGTTTCTCAGTTGAAAACACAAGTAGTGGTAACAACTTATTGTAATCTTGTAAGGGAAAGATTCCTGGAGACAACTAAACACAGCACAGATGTCAGAACATGTATCCATGATGATCAGTAACACTCTGATTGGGATGACAGAAGGCATCAGGGTAAGTAAACCACGTGTTTACCACAGAAAAGAGGTAACTCACCTATCTTGAAACGACCCATGTAGTAGATCTGGGAGCTGAGGGCCAGGGAGGCCAGAATATGGATTGCAGAGAAAATGACCCAGAACCACACGTCATTTTTTCCAAACACCTAGGAATAGAAATGGAGATTGTTTTGATCTGGATTTTCTACTAGAATTGTCTCTTATACAATCTCAAGGAGAAAAACTAATTGTGTATATTTTATTTTCTCCCTCTCCCTAGAACTCACAAGGATATTACTGCACATTGGATGCAAAAAATACTAGCTACCTGGCCACATAAAAACAGAAGACAGAAAAATAGGAGAGTCAACTGAACAAGACTGTGAACGGACCACAGGTCTACAGTGGGGTGATAAGGCTCTTCAAATAACCAAACAGCCCCAGTGCTGCCCACGAACATTTAGAAAGTAGTTCCTGTTTATTCAGCTTGGTTCTGTCCAATCAGCTTGGATCTATCTGTTCCAATCTGACTTGAGTCGGTTCCAGTTTAATATTGAAATTCCCCAGAGGTAGTTTAACAAGCACCTGCTACAGTTTTCTAAAGAATCATCTAAGTAATCAAGTAAGTGTGCTCTGAATGGACCCATGATGACAGTGTGTGATGAACCCTAGAATCCTTAGCCAGGTGCTGGTGGCTCATGCCTGTAATCCTACTCAAGAGGATCCTACTTCAAACTGATCCTCAGATCAGTCTGAAGGCAGCCCAGGAAGAAAAGTCTGTGAGACTCTTATCTCCAATTAATCACAGAAAAAGCTGAAAGTGGTGTTATGGCTCAAGTGGTATGGCATCAGCCTTGAACAAAAAGGAGTTCAGAGACAGCACTCAAACCCAGAGTTCAAGCCCTAGGATTGGCAAAAACAAAACAAAACAAAACAGAACAAAACAAAACAAAACAAAAAACCCTAGGTACTTGAGGTCAAACAAACAACAAAAATCCTCTCAAGAGCCCAGAAGGCAGGTGGAGAGGGGCATACCACTCCAAGGACGGTGAGTGTGATGACCACAGCAAAGGAGGCGTAGGCAGAGTAGGCACTGGCATTGATATCCGGGTGGCGAGTCTGATAGAGCTTCAACATGCAGAGGCCTGCGATCATGTACATGAAGGAGGTGTCTGAGGACACACACAAGTCAAGATATGAGGTTCAGGAGGTGACAGATGACACTTTCTACATTTGTCTTCATTTTCTGGGTACCCCTTCACTTCAATCCCAAGATTATTTTTGGACGCCTCCAAATACATCAGCCCCCTTCCCTCATGCATTTTCTAAAAATATCCCACTTACTCCATTTGTAACCCCTCTCTAAGGCTTATCCATTATATGATAGGATAAATAACCAACTACTCCTACTTGCAGAAGTGTTTTAAAGTATTTTAAAGGCTGATGTTAACAATCATAACAAAAGAATCCTGAACAGTAATGGTTTAGAGCGTGAGACAGTAAGAGTGCAGGTAGGCGTATAAGGTTGTTCTCAATACCTTGAAATATAAATACATTGACTACTGTGTGTGTGTGTGTGTGTTGTGCATTGTATATCCTGACAGTTAAATAACAGGCAAAAACTGGACACTAAATGTAGCTTAGCTGCATTAGAATTATAAAGATGCAAAGTAAAACATCAATTCACTGCTCCCTATTACTCAAAAAAATTAGTAAAAAAATCCTTAAATGTCTGAAGATAACAAATGCTAATGCTAATGTGGAGAAATTGAAACTCTCACAGCAAAATGGGAATGAACACTCTGGAGAGAAATTTGGTAAGTCTCTAGCAAAACAGATGTACAAACTAGGTGATTTGATGTACAGAACTTATACTTCTAGGTATCTCGGAAATCTCTCATGTGTACAAGGAAATATAGGAAAAATGTTCATTGTCTTCTATATAACAGTAAAATATTGGTAACATCTAAATGTTGTCCAATGGAGTTGATAAATGTGACATCTTTTTTAATGGAATATGACATTCCTTAAAAATAAATGAATTCGGGCTGGGAAGGTGGCTCAGTGGTAGAGTGCTTGCCTTGCATGCTCAAGGCCCTGGGTTTGATTCCTTAGCACCACATAAGCAGAAAAAAAAAGCCAGAAGTGGTGCTGTGTCTCAAGTGGTAGAGTGCTAGCCTTGAGCTGAAGAGCTGAGGGACAGCGCCCAGGCCCAGAGTTCAAACCCCACAACTGGGCCCATAAATAAATAAATAAATTCCACATTCTTGATTCCATTTGAATTGAGTCATTGTTGAATGAAAGCTGATTGTTGAATAAAAAGTGAAGATTTCAGAACAGACTGTGATAAATTAATGTAGTAGAAATACAAAAAAACAAACTCAAAGGATAAATACTAAATTAATCAAATTTGTTGCTTTTGGGAAAGAAGAGAATAAGTTTGGTCAATGCTGCAGTAAATAGGTTCAAAATGGCTCAACTTTATTCCACTTTTTTTTGTTTTATTAAAAAGTAGGTCTAAGAAAAATACTCAAAAATATGATATTTTAGCTGGATGTCAGTGGCTCACATCTGTAATCCTAGCTACTCAGAAGGCTGAGATCTGAAGATCACGGTTTGAAGCAGCTTGGGCAGGAAAGCACATGAGCTTTCTATCTCTAATTAACCACTAAAAAGCTGGAAATGGAGTTGTGGTTCAAGTGGTAGGACACTAGCCTTGAGCAAAAAGAACCTCACGATTGGGACTGGGGGGGGGAGGGAGGAGGCTGGGAAGGGAGGTGAAGGGTAAACAAAGGAGGAGGTTGCAATGCTTGGTAAGAAATGTACGCATTATCCTGCCCATGTAATTGTAACCCCTCTGTACAGTATGTTCACAAATAAAATAAAATAAATTAAAAAAAATAAAAAATAAATAAATAAAGTGTGCAAATGAAAAAAAAAAAAAAAAAAAGAACATCAGGGACAGCACCTAGGCTCTGAGTTCAAGCCCCAAATTGGCACCAAAGGAAAAGGTTATCTTTGAGTAAGGAAGATGTTATTGATTGACCAATTCTGCTCTTTCTTCTCTTCTCTTTCCTTTCCTTTCCTTTCCTTGTTTTCACTTTTCTTTGTTTTGTGGAGTCAAAATCTCACAGTGTACCCCAGAGTAACGTCAAACTCTGAATCTCCTGCTTCAGACTCCTAGATGCTGGGATTATAGGAATGTGTTCTTCCATCCACGCCCACCCTTCCTCTTTAACAGCATTTCAATACAAACTTGGATCCATCTACCCTCTTTTCAACTCAGCACCTCAGCTTCATAAAAGCTAGCACCACCCTTGGCTCAGGGATGGGCCTGATTGGTAAAAATGTAATCTTACCCCTTTTCTGATTGGTATAACAACCCAGTCTGAACTAGCCAGCATTTAGTGACGGATTCAGGCATTGACCCATGAGTGTAAGTTTCTGAGGTGTGAGAAGTCATTATCTTGGGGTTCCAAGAAAGAAAAAAAATCCTTCCTCCTAAGTGAAAGCTCCTGGAAGCCAGCTCAAAACCTCCTCTGAAATTAGAGACTGGGACATGAGGCCAAGGTCTCCTATGTTTAATTTTGGCCACCCTGAGAGAAGTCAGTCTCAGGATGAAACCAACATACAGATAGGGTACAACCAAAAGGATCACACAAAGTTGGATCCTTCAGACCATGAGCTGAGACATCTCTTTATTCCACTATGTAAGCAGTTAGTTTCTATGACTTTCACCCCCAGAACAGTCTAGCTACTCAATTATGCCAAGTTGCACCAAGGGCTTTTCCAGAAGTCCGTTGGTGGATTTTAACAGGCTTGCCACCTAATACTTGACCCATTGTCTGCCTTGGGAACACACCTGGGGATCATCCTCAGGGTTGACTGCTTTCTAGTCTAAAAGGTGGTCAAAAAGAAAAATGGTACAACAGGTAGAAAACTATGCTGTGTGGTGAGGTGCTCTTAGATGGCTGCAGCTCACACAAAATTCTTTTTAGCTCTGGAAAACTTGAACTTGGCATTTTTGGAAGGAACCTGGATAAGTCTCCTTTATAGGAGACTTATACAAATCTGTATGGTTGATGTAAAGTCTGATTACCGAATTGGAAATTGGAGTAATTAGGGCAGACATGGTAACAAGCACTGAGCACTCCTTCCATCATCAGGGCGATGCCCATAGCATAGAAGAGACCAAAGTGTTTGGGAATCCCATACTCCTGAAATGGAAGAAAGGGGGGTCAACAGAAAGACACTAGTTAGCAACATATCTACAAAATCTGGAAGCCTTTGCTCTGGTATCATGGAGCTCATTAGACATTATAGAGCACCACATTGTCAACTCAGATGCCCCTCCTGCTTTCAGGTACTATTTGGGATCATGGTCCATCCAGCTCCTATCTTTGCTTTTCCCATTCTCTCCTCACCATAGCAAAGATGTCCTTAGCTTCTAGGGATCTTCTATGGAGAATGTCCCGGCGCAAGACTATCAGCAGGAAGAGAAATCCCAGAAGCACATGGCCCAGGTTGCTGAGAATATTGTTGAAGGCACTGTACAGGAGTAAAAAAAAAATGGGAGAGAGACTAATGCATAGATGAATGAATAAGAGAACTCAGCATTCTTTTTTTTTTCCTACTACTAATCTTTCCCTATGATTTCAGGATTAGAAAATTCTCAGAAATACTTTTTAACCTAACGCTTTCATTTTAGGATACATACTTAGCTTTTGGTAACATGTCTATGTCCCCTTAGGGCTGCTTGATCAGCATTCCTCACAACTTCCTGGTCTCCTTCGACCCTGCTGGCACAGGCAAAATATGAGTCCAAGGAGAGCTGCTTAAGCATTTGAGTTGTGCTGTGAGACTGAATTCTCCCAGATGAACCCTGGTTATGTATCAGTATTCAGATCTCTAATTGTTAATTACAGAATAAATGCCAGCTGATCAGAGCCAACAGCTTTTTTTTAGTAAGTCAAGGTTGGTTCGGTTCTGGGCCAAGAAAGAAAGTTCCCACCTTCCAGGCAAATGCTCTTTTCATTTCACTGAATTCTGATTGGCTTGAGAACAGTCCTGGGGACAAGACCTGATGTAGGTTATTAATAGCAGAGGTACCTTCAGCAAGTCCTTATCTGTGTAAGCCTGAGCAGAAAAGCATAATATGTAGGGAATTATAATATCCATCTCAGGAGACTAACTGATTAAATAAGACATGCTGGTCATGAACATATGCCATCTCAGCTAGGATTATACCTGACCTACAGGTTCCAAAAACCTACTCCTCATCAGGTTATTTTTAGGAATATTGCCTCTGGAACTCACCCAGGAATGAGCAAAGCATGCCTGGTCTCAACTTCTGGGTTTAATTCTTCTTTATCCTAATGATAGTAGTTAACCCCAATTGTTTGTAGTGTTTTTAGGAGACAATGACATCACATTAGACAGAATTAAAATAGCCTCACGTGCATCCAGAGGACTGGGTTTACCTCAGGACGCCCAAGGGGTGAGCACAGAGGAAGTTGTAGTAACAGATGTCCTGGTTGCCTGTGACATTTACCACCTGGAAAATCAAGTGTGAGAAGAGGAATTATGGGTTTTCTCCAGCCTCTAAGTCTCCCCCCAATTCACAAAATGTAGACAAGGCTGGCAGGTACACTGTCAGTGGTTCACGAGGCAGCCAGTGCTCCTTCTTAGCAGGGATGGAATGAGTCATTACCACCTGCTGGCATATTTCTTGCTTGGGATGAAAATGGTCTGTGTATGCCAGTAGTTGACCTCAGATGGAAGTACTAAGTGTGGGTTCTTTATTATCATAATAAAAGGACTATGAACTGATGGAAACATGGATACTTGCTCTTGAAGTCTGTCTTGTTATATCCTATTTTCTAGATTAAAGCTGAGGGGAACAGCTTTTCCGTTAGAAAAGAAAACCACTGAGAAGGTATATTCAGTTTTCGAAGTCATTCCCTTTTCCACCAAGAATGTACTTAAGCCACAACACAGCTGTAGGTTCTGACAGGGTCCAAAGCATGCAGAGAATATTTAGATTATAAACATCGATGTTCAAACCCCATAAAAACATTGTCTTCGTTATATAACAAGTATGGAATGGACTAAATATTTTCAGACCATTAGCTCTCAAGGCTGGCTGTACATAAGAATCACCTTCCCTTTCTTTCTTCCTCCCTCCCTTCCTTCCTTCCTCCCTCTCTCCCTCCTTCCCTTCTTTCTTTCCTTCCTTCCTCCCTTCCTTCCTTCTTTCCTCCCTCCCTCCCCCCTTCTCTCTGTCTCTGTCTCTTTCTGTCTCTCTCTCTCTCTGTCTCTCTCTCTGCCCCTCTCTCTTTCTCTCCCTCTTTCTTTATGGTGCCAGACTGGAGCTTGAACTCAGGGCTTTATGAGTTTACTTAGCTTTTTTTTTTTTTGCGGGGTGGGGGTGGGGGTCTGGTCATGGGGCCTGAACTCTGGGCCTGGGTGCTCTCCCTCAGCTCTTCAGCTCAGGGCTAGTGCTCTACCACTTGAGCCACAGCGCCACTTCGGTTTATTTTCTTTTTGCTTATGTGGTGCTGAGGAATCAAACCCAGGGCCTCAGGCATGCAAGGCAAGTGCTCTACCACTGAGCCACCTTCCCAGCCCAAGTATACTTAGCTTTATTGCTGAAGGATAGCATGCTAGTACTTGAGCCACACTACCACTTCCTGGCATCAGTTTTGATTTAAACAATACTAATGCTTGTTCTACTCTCAGAGTTCCTGTCTATTTGGTCTGAGGAACAGAATGCACACTGAGAGTCTTAGAAGTGTGCCATGTGATTTCAATGCACACTACAGGTTAAGAACCATTGCATAAAGAAAGTTTAGCCCGTGTTGTTCTAAATGGTGTGTCCATCATCATTTATGGAAAATTTGTGTGACTTTACCCTGATTTCCATTATTTCATGGTGCTCAGAAATCATGATTACCAGCTCAGGCTGGTAAATAACAGATGTAATTGACTGAAAGGACTGAATGAGTACAAGATAATCATTTCAGGTTGATAGACAATATAAAAGTTGTCTCCAGTCCCTTGGAGAACAGATTGGCAAAGTCAGTAAAAGCCAGACATAGTGACACGTGTGTGTAATCTTAGCACTTGGGAGATGGAAGTAGAAGATGGAGAGTTTGAGGCTAACTTGGGCTACGTAGCCAAACCTTGTCTCAAACTCTGCCAGGAAAAAATGGTGAGAGATCAGTTCAACATGAAGCAATGGAGAAGTCCTATTGGCACCCAAATGGGAAACTAATACTTGGCTGATCCCAAATTAAGTCTTTGCCCATGGGTCACACTGGAGATTTTTCCTGCAGGAAGGAGGCTGGGATTCAGATTGGGGGCAGCACTTACTGTCTGGTAGGTGATGACTAACTGGATCACAGGCAGTGCATAAAACACAGCAATGGTGATGATGTTCCTATGTAGACAGAAAGAATGGAGTTACTTCTCATGACCATGGAATTGCTCAGTGTTTTCAAAGGAGTGCTTCCACCCCATAACTCCATCCATAGTTTGCTTCCAAAAGCAGTTAGAAGTAGGTGATGGAGTTCCTGTTTCTCCTGTCTTCTCCCTTTCTTTGCATTTGGGTATTTGGTGCACAACATTTTGGAAAGGAAGGGAAGGGAAGAGAAGGAAAGAAGAGGAAAGAGAAGGGAAAGGAAGGGGAGTAAACAAATGCACCCCTTGGTTACCATATAGTTTGGTAATAGAGAAAAACACTGAATGTATTAACTGAAATGGTGTGGCTGAAGATAAGCATTCAACAATTAATAAGGCTTTATTTTTCCCTTCCTGTTTGTACAGCCATTTGTAAAACCTTGCTTCTGATGAAACCACCTGATTAGTAACAGACTATTTCTTTTGCATGTTGTTAAAGTGCTCAGAGTTACAAGTAATAGTTGAGGATCATATGAAGAGGGTGTAGCTCTCTCACGTAATTCAGTTCCAAAGTGATAGCCTGTGCTATAAAATTTCATAGGGCCCCTCCATCCCTCTTTCTTCTCTATCTGTTTCCAAGGTGAAAGGGCCTTCCTCAGGAAAAAGCAGGAAATGTAATAATAGAAGAGCAAGAGTCTGCCTAGAGGAGGGGCCTCTCCGGGTAGGTCAGGCTCTTGGCTGCGTGGTTGGGTCTATGACCATCACAGTGGTCTCTTTACCATTAACTGGTGGTATCAATACCTATCATGGTTCCTCATTGAACGTTAACACCTTGTGAAATAACTGCTTATGGCTTTTACTTAGAAAACTTCTAACTTGGAATAATTTAGGAACTGAGCATCTAGTTTAGTGATAGAATACTTCCTTAGTATGTGTGAGACCCTGGCTTTGATCTCTAGGACTACAATGAATGAATGAATCCATCAACGAGTGATTCAGGATTTTTTATGGGAGCTATAGCCATCTACTTACCAAAAATAAATCTTATATTTTTTGCTGACGATTCTCCTGTCCTTTCTGGACAGATCTGACAGGTACAGAAACATCTAGTGCCAAGAAAAAGAGAATGCAAAATTATACTTGACTTTGCTTGTATGTGATAGAGTTTACGAATTTTGATTTAAACCTTCACTAGAGGTTAAAATTATTCAATAAGACTTTTTCTTTGAATTTTGTTTTCTCCTAGGATATCTTAATAAAATTCTAATATTTTTCTTTTTTTTTTATTGTGAAAATACCATACAGAGGAGTTACAATTACATGGGCAAGGTAATGAGTACATTTCTTATCAAGCATTGTTGCCTCCTCCTTTGTTTCCTTCCCATCCCTTCCCCTCCGCCCCCCCCCCGGCCCCCCACAACTGTTGTTGATTCTTTTTTTCTTTTCTTTTCTTTTTTTTCTGTCAGTCGTGGGGCCTGAACTCTGGGCCTGGGCGCTGTCCCTCAGCTCTTCAGCTGTAGACTAGCGCTCTACCACTTGAGCCTCAGCCTCACTGTTAATGTGGTGCTGAGGAATCGAACTGAGGGCCTCATGCATGCAAGGCAAGCACTCTACCACTGAGCCACCTTCCCAGGCCCAAAATCCTAATATTTTTCTTGGAATATTGAGGATTGGCTAAACTGGAAAAGTCTAGGAATACTGAATGCAGTATCTCAAGTATTGATTTTCCTACTTCCAGAGTTAGCCAATTAATTTTTAAATTGCATGTGGTTGAAAGTGTGTAATTCTTTTACTGGGTACCACACCATATAATAAATATATGCAAGGAGGAAATGAGCTTTACTTCTGATGTGTGCAAAAACAGGGAGCTTTTCAAGATACAGCCCTCAATGAACCTTTTCTTCTATCTATTTGAATTCCTTCATCCTTTCTTGTCCATAGTCAGCAACTACAGATACTAAGAATATTTACTATTCTGTTCATTCCACCCCCTCCCCCACTACAAACCCACCCAAGGGAAACAGGTGCTAATTAACAAAGGACGGCCTTTAGTCTATATCTAAGGTCTGTCTTGACCTTCTGGGAAAAGTGACTTCTCCTGAAGGGAACTGACAGAAAACGAGACACTGGTGAAGTTTATTCTACTGCCAAACTTTCTGCCTTCTCAAAAGGAATAGCCAGGTTGGGTGCCAGTGACTCACTTCTATAATCCTAGCTACTGAGGAGGCTGAGATCTGAGGATCATGGTTCAAAGCCAGCCCAGGCAGGAAAGTCCGTGAAACTCTTATCTCCAATTAACACCAGAAAACCATAAGTGGCGCTGTGGCTCAAGTGGTAAAGCTCTTCCCTTGAGCTGAAGAGCTCAGAGTCAGTGCCTAGGCCCAGAGTTCAAGCCCCAAGACAGACGAAAGAAAGGAAGGAAGGAAGAAGGAGAGAGAGCCAGGCAGGGGTACCTTGGTACGGATGATGTTTTTGTCGTTCTCGATATCAGGCATGGTGTCAAAGTCGCTCTCCTCCACGGAACTGTCCGTGTCTGACTGGCATGGCTGCCCACCCTCAGACGAGGACACCTGCCTCCCAGGACTAGAGTTTGACTCATCTGAAACAGAAAACTCATCTGCCATGAAAAGCCAAGAACAGCCCATGGAACCCATTCTTCTGCATAAAGCAGATCGACACCTTCTAGAAAATTCCATATTGGTCCACAAGAATTCCTTAACAGGAGATATGTCTTCTCAATGGACTTGCGTTTCCCCACCACACCTGCCCCGCACCGTTTCTCCTATCTTTATAATTAACTTTCTATTTCTACACATGAATGCATATTAGGATATAAAGGCATCTGCTCTTTTAGCTTTTTGGATGCAAAATAACATTGTGCTTAGATTTCATGTTTCATATTTTTAAAATATGAACACAAAGATACCAACATCCACATGCACGCTGTTATGTGTTATGTATAGCATCGATCACATATATGTGTATGCATACACATATCTAGCAGCTATACATTTCTCACAGATAGAGAATTTATCTGCAGACATCTCTCACATGCTATGTCTATGGTTATATAATGGAAAGAACATTCTCAGGAAGCAGGATTCTTCTGTTCCCATGAATGTTTCTTAGAGCAGATGGAATTTGTGCAGCTTGAGCACATGAGCAGAGCCTACCTTCTGCTTTATTTCTTCTTTTCAGATGTTTAAAAAAAATCCTGTTTTTACAGAACTAAAAATAAGTAGCCTACACTGAGCCCACATGCTCAGTTACAGAATGACAGGGAAGGAATACAGGACTCCTAGTCTCTCCACATTGAGATATCTAGAAACAGAGTCCCGGGGCTTGAACTCAGAGCCTGGGCACTGTCCCTTAGCTTTTTTGCTCAAGGCTGGTGCTTTACAATTTGATTCATAGTTCTATTTCAGGCTTTTTGGTGGTTAATTGGAGATAGGGTCTCATGGACTTTCCTGCTCGGGCTGGCTTTTTTTGAGCTGTGATCCTGAGATCTCAGCCTCCTGAATAGCTAGGACTACAGATGTGAGCCCCCGGTGCCAAGTTCACATGGATATTTTAAGAAGCCTCATTCACAGGCCTAGAAGCACCATGGAAGGGTCAGGCAGCTCAGTGCATGTCTACTCCCACAAGACAGGTTTGAGGATTCTGTTCCCTTCAGCTGTTTAATGACCTCTGGGTTTGGCAAGGGAATGACTGGGTGGCAGTGAGCAGGCTCAGGTGTGAAGTTAGCCAAATGCAGGCCACAGCCATGTTCACCTGCAGCACTGTCTTAGTCTTCTGCTGGCCCTTACTCCTCTGACACCTGAGAATGAAACAACCGGTCAATTGTTGTCAGGCTTGCTGTGATGCATTTCCCATGCCATACAGTCAGGCTGGGTATGTAAACGTTCCCCAGCGCTTGGTAGTTGATGGCAAAAACTGCAGTTAGCAAGTCCCAAAAGAAGGAAAATAGAACTGCAGAAAGTCAGCCTGGCAGAAACCTTCCAATATTTCCAATCAATTCATCTTATACATAAAAGACAGTTTCATAGGATGAGGTTGATGCTCAGAGTGACTGGAGGCCAAAGGCCCTTTGTATGCTAATCTCTGGAAAGTTAGGAAACAGTCCCAACATTAGACTCAATGTAGCAAATACCTATGGCCCCATAATTGCTTCCTTCAGGTGTGCTGGCAGAGATGGGATGTGACACCATATTTCCAGAGCCTGTGGAGAAAAAAAAAATCCAGAGGCAAACACTTTAACATACTTTCTAACTCACCCTTTAAAAAACTAATAAAAAAAAATAGCTGGGTGCTGGTGGCTCATGCTTGTAATCCTAGCTACTGAGATCTGAGGATTGTAGTTCAAAGCCCACCCTGGCAGGAAAGTCCGGGAGACTTTTTTTTTCCCCAGAGCTCGAACAGACATAAATAATTCATTTAGCTCCTAGCTCAGAGTTCTTTCTTCCCTGCCTTGATAACTGCCATGAGACTCTTATCTCTAATTAACCACCAGAAGTGGCACTGTGACTCAAAGTGGTAGAGCACTAGCCTTGAGCAAAAGAGCCAGGGACAGCACCTAGGCCCTGAGTTTAAGCCCCATGACCGACATAAATAAATAAATAAATAAATAAATAAATAAATAGCTGGTTCCTGGAAGAACTACAGGGTCAAAGGAGCCTGAGTTTGGAATGACTGTGAGGACATCTATTGAACAAGAACCCCAGAAATAAATTTCTCCAATTAAGTCACAGGAGTTTGGGATTTATTTGTTATACCTTTTAAGAGTATCTCAACCCTACGTAAGAAGGAAATTGCTCCACTACCAAGAGCAATAAATGATGATAGCATGAATTATGGGTTATGTTGGCAGATATTTAGGATGTAGAACAGGTATAAATGTTGCCATCTGGTCACTCAAAACGAGATTAAAGTAGACTGTAAGTTAACGGTCCCCCAAACCTTTCTAATGAAGTATAGTTCTAGAATCAGGGAGAATGATTTTAAAGCTCTGAGAGTCTAGCGATACCTCTGTAGTCAACCTACCACATGAATCAGAGAAAAGTATCTCTCAAACGTCTTAAAGTCTATGAGCTAACATGCTATCTTGGCTTTTGTATGTGTTATGTAAAAGAAAAATCCACAACTAAAATCAGAGCAAGAGAACAAACAAACTATTATCTTTTTAGGTGATGCCTTCATTAAGAAAATAAGAAGAAAAAAAAGGCCACTGATAGGTCTGTTGACTTTAGTGAATCACATTTCTGAGCTCTATTGTGACTCACACTGAGCAAGCTCAGGCTTCTGGTGTAGCTGCTGGCTGACCCTGATCACTTTAAGGCATAGTTCTATGATAAACCACATTTTCATGCACAATACAAGTGTTAGGCAGAAAAGTGTTTTAGGTTGCGTGGTCTTGGTTCTGCACAATTTACATATGAGATCAGCTTGTATGGGGTATTTTACCAATTTTGTTTGTGGGTAAGGTCTTTCAGAATGCAAAAGCAGACTGAAGCCAGGCAACTGTAATCCTAGACATTCAGGAGTCTGAGATCTAAGGATCATGTTTGAAGCCAGCCTGGGCAGGAAAAATCCATGAGACTCTTATCTCCAATTAACTACCGGGAAACCAGAACTGTGGCTCAATGTGGTAGAGAGCACTAGCCTTGAGCATAAAAGCTCAGAGATAGTACCTAGGTCCTCAGTTCAAGCCCCACAACCAGAAAAAAAAAAGTAGACTGAGAATGTAGCTTACTGTAACAGTGTTTGCGTAGCATTTGTGGAGTCCTAAGTTTGATCCCCAACATTAGAGTTTGAATGAAAAAAACCAAACCAAAGCATTTCCTTCCAAACTTCAAGTATGATCATATTTACATTTTTAGCTGTAGAGTATTTAGAAAGCAGAATTAAACACAAAATAACAGTTTATAGGACAGATCGAGATGTTCTGGCTGAGAATAGCAGACACAGGATTGTGAATGAGCTCATCTTCATGAGGAAACTTTTAGTATGGTTTTCTCTGTGGAAGCGTCACTTGCCATCTGTCTGCTTCCCTCACAGAAGAGCATATTCTTGCATGTCTGGTTTTTATACTAAATGCTCCATATGAAGAGAACAAATTAATTTCCTGTTGAGCGTGTTTGGGTCTTTCAGAGACTTCATATTTGTGGTTGTCCTGCCCCCTTCTGTCTGTGAAGCTGTAGGAGAGGGAGTCAGAAATGTCGGGAGCTAGCTGCCATGAAATTTAATTTTCATGCCATCTGGTTACCAAACCCAACGAAATCTCATTTTGTGTTTCAAAAGTTGAGGAGGAAGTGAAGAAAATCATTCATCTTTACAGAGAGATGTAAAAATAAAACTCCTCTACAAGGAAAAAAAAAGCTGGCACAAGAAAAGTCAAAAGAAGTTTAGGAAAAGAAGAGTGGAGAGACAAAACTGCAATTTGAGACACTCTGCGGCTACAATTTGCTAGAGAGGTTGTTGAAGTCTTTTGTTGTTGAGTCCTCCAAATTCCTCTTTTTTTTTCCCCCTCACATGGATCCTGCTTTTTTGCTAGGAACCCAATTTGGTGATGTCTCTTTCCAGGGAAGCATTTGATTGGCACGATGGTTTAGAATGGATTGAATGTATCCCTCAAAGGGATAGTAGCTAGGGTTACACATGTGAGTCACTGGACACTCTGGGCCATTTGGTGCTCTCTCTCTCTCTCTCTCTCTCTTTCTCTTTCTGTCTCTGTCTCTGTCTGTCTCTGTCTCTCTGTCTCTGTCTCTGTCTCTCTCTCTCTCCTCCCCCTTGGCCATTCTTTCTCTCCTCTCTTCTCTCTCTCCCCAACCCCGGGCTCCTTAGTGCCTGTTCTTACTTTAAACAGCTAGGTCTTATCTCACTAGTGGTCATGAGACAGGGGAGGACCAGCTTCCTGTAGTTTCCTGCTCACTAAGCTGGCACTTTGTCCAATTATCTCTGCTTCTGGCAGCTGATGCACTGATTTTTTAAAGTGGAGACAAGAAGGAAGCTGTAGTGCCCTAAAAGAACATTTGTCAGTGTTTGGAGACATATTTTCAGTTGCCTCAATGAGGAAGTGTGGTACTGAAATCCAGTAGGTGAGGTGAATAACACCCTGCAGTGTATAGGACAAACCCTAATAACAGAGAACAATCTTGCCTGTAGTGCCAATAGTTCTGAGTTTGAGAAATCTTGCTCTCAGAGAAACAGGGCCTCACACTAATTCTCAGAGCAGGTTAATGTGTAACGTGTTGGTAAACTTACTCCTTCAGTGAGTAGTTTAATAGTAAGTATACGATCTACTCTAGACCATGGAACACCAGAAAGTGCCAGAGACTTCTTTTTCTTTTCTATTAATATATATTTTTATTGTAAAGATACTGTACAGAGGGGTTACCGTTACATGAGCAAGGTAATGAGTCCATTTCCTATCGAGCATTGTTACCCCTCCTTTGTTTTCCCCTACCATCCCTTTCCTCCCCACTTCCCCAACTCTGCTCCCTCCCTCCCCCCCCCCCCCCCCCCCCCCGCAAAGTTGTAAAGTTTGTTTTCAATGGGTCATCCTGTATCCTTATTTCAGTATTTTGTTATTTCCCTCCCCCTCCCCAAATTAGAAAAATGTATATGCAAGATGCAGGACACGGGAATCTAATACAGTGACAACAGGGGTTGTACCACGGGGGAAGAACATACAAAGAAAGTAGCGCGTCTGAAACCAACTCCTTTTGTAATAGCCGCACAAAAAATAAAATACTTAGGAGTTAACTAAAGAAGTGAGGGACCTCTATGACGAAAACTTAAAAAAAAACTGAAAAAGGAAATTAAAGCAGAACTAAGGAAATGGAAAAACCTCCCATGCTCCTGGATTGGGAGGATTAACATGCTGAAGACTTCTGATAGTTCCTTCCCTCCGGCGTTGTCAGGTGAGATGTATCTCCCCAACCGGGAAACAGAACTAAGGGAATGGCAGGAAAAGGGACCAGAGCCTCATGACTCCTTCAGTCCTGAGGTCCACCCTCTGTTCCGACTTCAAGGCATAGGAGCCTCTTTATTGTCTAAGCAGGTTTCAGGTATATTTTCTTGTGATTGCTATTGTTGCTTACAATTATATAAATGTCAGTGGTATGTCTACGTTTTTTTTTTTCAGTTGCTCATTTGTTTCTGCTTGTTATCCAAAGGGTGCTTCTAACTCTTAGCTAATTTTCATAGCCTTCCTGACCTTAGACAATAATCTGGTTTAAGTGTCAGTTTAGTGGATTTATGCTTTGTTCTTCCAGAGACCTTCTGAACATAGAATTTCTTTTCTTATTATTGTAATACTAAAATGGCATTAGCTATACAATGAAAAATAACAGATCCCTCCATTCTGAGGGTACCTAAATGGAATCCAATGCTCAAGTTCAACAAGGCCTAAAATAATAGCAAATTTGGGGAGTGTTGTAGGAACAAACAATGAGATCCAGCCAGTCGATAAAGTTCCTGAAACATTTCACAAATAAAAGGGAAATTAGCACTAGCACTTTAAAGCCATAGAGCAGGTGTTCTTTGACGGTCTTATATATTTGCAATTGAATGTTTATCCAAGCAAAGTGCCTGGGTGGCTGGAAAAATAGACATGCTGAGTTTAAGGAAGACAAATGTAAAAAAAAAAAAAAGAAAGAAAGAAAGAAAGAAAAAGAAAAACAAAACAAAAAAAGAGCAACCTTCCAGCAAAGAGAGAAATGTCGTGTTGCGAGGGGGCAGGGATGAGTTCCTGTGTCTTTTTCTAAGATTCTGTGGACTCAGTGAAGTGTGGAAAACAGAAGGTAACATCTGTTACATGGGTCTTAAAAATCAAGTCCTCCTCATTCCTTTTTCAAATTCTTACTCTGCAAAATAGCTCATGAATGCTGATCAAATAGGCATTGCAAAAATAAGCACAGTTGAAAATTTTAGTTGTAATAAGATCAGATAATTGAATTCTTTTCTGAAAATTCTCAGAGGTGAGGAAAAGGTGGCTTAAATAGTTATTTATTCTGGTTTCCATAAAGTTGTAGTCTTTATTAAACCTGTTAGTCTCAAAGATTTCAGCTTTCTAAATACTACACAACAAAAGCTTCTATTCCTTCCAACATGGGAAAAGTAAACCTTTTATGAAAATTCTCATGAATTCTTACTATTATTCTGGAATCAGCTTTAGGATAATATAAGCATGAAGAGTTATATCCTAGAAAAGAGTAAATGTTTAAAAAAGAATAGTTGATGAGTGGGGTGTGAATAATTACAAAGGTCACTCCACCTTAAGCTTCTTAATGTGAGCTCTATTCTCATAATTACCAGTTATAAAACTAGTTCTTGCTAGCTCGGCCTTTTGTAGAAAGACTGCAAATTAGCCTTCTCTGTGGGATAGGGATCAATGCAGATTTTTAAACTGCCAAAGACAGAGAGGCAAAAGATGCACCATTCATTGTTCAATATAGTTCTGAATTCAGACAAGGGATTTTTTTCTTACCGTCATTGGAACCAAAGCTTCCATCAATGGATTTTCTCTGAAACCTGCAAATAAACACATATATTTGCTACTAGAGACACTGAAAATGTCAGCATTTTACATTTGTTTCTAATATACTTTTTTGTGAATCTGTCTGCTAGGTGTCTGAAATAGGTTTTGGAGGAAGAGAAATTGGAATCTTGGCCCATTATGGGTAGGAATATAAGATGGTAAGTCACTTTGGAAAACAATGTGGCAGCTTCTGAAAATGTTAAGCACAGAATTACCATGTGACCCAGCAACATTAGTCCAGGCATATTCCAGGTCATTAACCAATTGTCTATTAATGTCAGATAACTTACATGCCATAAGATTCACCCTTTAATATACACAATTCAATTAATTTTAATATGTTCACAAAGTTGTACAACTATCATCACTATCTAATTTCCAAATATTTTATCACCTCAGAGGAAATCCTTTATCCGTTATCAGTCATTCTTGGTTGGCTTATCTGTGTCTCAATATAAATCTCCTTCTCTTGCTCCTTCTCCTCCCTTCTCCCTCCTTTTTCTTCTCCTTTGTTTTCTCTTTCCTTTTCTTCCATATCCTCCTCCTCCCTCTCTTCTTCTTCTTTAAACTCAGGACCTTGTGCCTGGCTTAGCAAGTGCTCTACCACTTAAACCATGCCCTTAGTCCTTTTTCCTTTCCTTAGTTTTTGAATAGTCTCCCATTTATGCTAGGGTTAGCCTGGACTGCAATCTTCCTATTTATTCCTATTTATATCTGGTATCTGTACATAGCACTGGGCTCCATTTTTTTATTGGTTGGAAATAGGGGTTTTGTGAACCTTTTGCCCAAGTGGCCTTGAATAGCAATCTCCCCAATCTCTGCCTCCTGACTAGCTGGTGTGAGTCATAGTTCCTAAGTATTGTTTCATATATGTACTGGCAATTTGCATATTGAGAAGATATTAAGATAGAACATTTATGAAACCTGACTATTTAAGTCCTTTGCCATTTTTAAATGGACTTGCTTTTTTGATCAGCTGTAAGAATTTTTGTGGGTTTTTTTTTTTGTTTGTTTGCTGCTCCTGAAGCTTGAACTCAGCCTAGGCACTGTCTCTGAGCTCCTTTTGCTCAAGGGTTGCACTTTATCACTTGAGTCACAGTGCTACTTCTGGCTTTTTCTGTGATTTTATTGGAGATAAGAGTCTCACAGACTCTTGCCTGGGCTGGCTTCAAACCACCATTCTCAGATCTCAGTCTCCTGAGTAGCTAGGATTACAGGCATGAACCCAGCTAGTTGTAAGAGTTTATTTATAAAGTCTAGATGTTAGACTGTTACAGATACATGATTTTCAATTTTTTACTCCCATTTTGTATGTTGTCTTAAGTCTTCATTGATAGTATTTTTAAAGCACAAAACTTTTCATTTCATAAAATACAATTTATCTATTATTTTCTTCTATTACTTGTGCTTTTGGTATCTAAGAAATTATTTCCCAATCCAAGGTCACAAAGATTTACGGCTATGTCTTCTTCTAGGAGTCTTTGTAGTTTTAACTCTTATTACATCTTTGATCCATTTGGAGTTAAATTTTGTACCTGTTAGAAGAGGGAGTGAGGCACCATTCTTTTTGCATGTGGGTAGTTGTCTTTGCATCATTTGTTAAAAAGAATATCCTTTCTCAGTTTAATTGTCCTGGTATCACATTGAAAATCGATTGACCAAGATTTTAACAGTTTGTTTCTGAATTGTCAATTCTATCCCATTTTATATGTCATCTGTCCTTTTTTTTTTGGTCGTTCGTGGGGCTTGAACTCTGGGCTTGGGCGCTATCCCTCAGTTCTTGAGCTCAAGGTGAGTGCTCTACCTCTTGAGCCACAGTGCCACTTCCGGTTTTCTAGTGGTTTATTGGAGATAAGAGTCTCACGGACTTTCCTGCCAGGGCTGGCTTAGAACAGTGATCCTCAGATCTCAGCCTCCTGAGTAGCTAGGATTATAGGTGTGAGCCACCGGCGCCCGGCGCCATATATCCTTCTTAATGTCAGTCTTAGAGTCTTGGTTATCCAAGCTTTGTAATGAGGTGTGTGTGTGTGTGTGTGTGTGTGTGTGTGTGTGTGCGTGCGCGCACGCGTGTGCGAGTGCGCATGCCCATACTGGGCTTGAACTCAGGTCCAGGTGCTGTCCCTTAGCTTTTCTAACCATTCTAGTTGTAAGCTTGTTAACTATTTTAATGATATTGACCTGCAAACAATTATATGGATTCATAGAACATGATGGCTTCGCCCACATGTATGTTAGCTTTTGGAAGTGGGACAATTGTTCATTAGAGGAGTTGAATGATTTATAAAGCTAGAGTGAGACCAGAAGTATCCAATCAACAAATGTAAAAATAACATGAGAGCCGTTCTAGATTGATTGCAAGATGACTATTATCTTGTCAATCAAAAGGTCATTGAACATCTTCATCTGTGGAAATGGGGCTGTACTAGTGACTTAACTCCCCTTTCAGAGGGATGAAGAAAAAATACTTTTAAACCTACAGCTGCAAGTTTCCTGCTATCTTTCTTTAAGATACAATTATCTTAGCCAAGCCTACAGGAGGATGACAGACCAATGTCTCTGATGCCAGTCTAAGTGAACCAGCTTCTAGAGAACCTGTCAGCAGACCATTTCTAGCAGGACCATCTTGTTGACCCATGGGTTCATGATAAACTTAAATATTCATGACTGTATGCCATTGGAGGGTTTTTTTGTCTTGTTTTGTTTTGTTTTTTGGTCGGTCGTGGGGCTTGAACTCTGGGCCTTGGTGCTGTCCCTGTGCTCTTCAGCTCAAGGCAAGCACTCTACTTCTTGAGCCACAGTGCCACTTCCAGTTTTCTAGTGGTTTGTTGGAGATCAGAGTCTCACAGACTTTTCTGCCCGGGCTAGCTTAGAACAGTGATCCTCAGATCTCAGCCTCCCGAGTAGCTAGGATTACTGGCGTGAGCCACCAGCACCCAGCTCTACTGGAGTTTTTGTTGTTGTTTTTCTAAAGCAACATGATTGGATATCAATAAAAGAATCAAGGGCAGGATAAGTAGTCAGGATCGAGCGGTTTGGATATGACATATGATATGGTGACTGAAAACAAGATGAATTTAGTACCTTGTAGACCCAAGGTCTACAAGGGATTCAATAAATATACATGGAATGGATTGAGGGTGGGAGATGGAAAAGCGATGGTTTTTAAGTGTCAGTACAAGATAAAACCACTTCAGATTCTGCTCTGTGAGATCATGTCTCATAAACATTTCTACCTTGATTCCTTGAATTTTTCCCTACAACTTTTTTTTATGCTTAAGATGATGTATTAGAGGGGTTACAGTTATATTAGTAAGGTAATGAGTACATCTCTTGTCAAACTTGTTATCCCTTCATTTTTCTCCTACTTTCCCTCCCCCCAACCCCACCCCCAAGTGGTACAGATCATTTCCAACATATTGTCTTGTGAGTATCACTGTTGCATTAATTCCCCACCTTGTCCTTTGTCTCCCCTTCCCTTCCCTAATCCAAACAAATGTATATTCAATACCAGAGTACGAAAATCAAATACAGTGACAACAGGGAATATACCATAGGGGGAAGAACATGCAAAAGAAACAAAACATCACATAGTAAATTAAAAACAACAACAACAAAGAAGAACCTTTTGTGTCAATGTCTTGGAGTTCATTTTGCTTAGCATCATCTTATATGGTCATATGTACAGAGCTATTGAGCTATTCTGCTCATCTGCTAAGATTATCCTAGACATGTGCTAATTATTGCAAATAAGTTGTCCTACAACTTCTATATGTATTAGTAACAAGCTATAGGGGATTCACCAATTGCATAACATTCCGTTGCAAAGAATGTTTTCATATGGTTTTGTAGGAAACTTTGGTTCACTTAGTTCAATGGAAGAAGAGTTCTTCTATTAGCATATTCTCTCAGTCTGTTCCCTTGTTTAGGATGCCAACTTGTTCTTATGTTTCCAGATCTCTATTTTCAGTTTGTCTATATTTGGAAAGAATCTTTGCTTGTACATTTGACAGCAACAAAATATTCTGCAGTGAGAAGTTTCAACAGAGCCTTAAACCACAACTTTCAAAAACTGTGCTCACTTCAGTTGGCTGAATAGTAACTTTTTAAAAAGCGAATGTGCTTTATTGTTATTATAAAGGTGATATACAGAGGGATTACAGTGACGCAAGTCAGGTAATGAGTACATTTCCTTTCATACAGTGTCTTCTGTTTCCTCACTCTCTCCTCCTTTCTGTTGAATAGTAACTTTTGAAAGATTGATAACTAACTAGCTGTTGTGTACTTTTTGGTCTATTTGTGTGTTGATTGTATATGTTAGCTAAATAAAGAGAAGCAAACCTATTTTCTAAAAATCTGACTCAGAGGACCAGAGATAGTATTCCTAAGAAAGGCAACAGACACTTCTTTGCCATGATTGTGGAGCTTATCCCAGGTAAATTTGGGGCCTCATTTTTAATTGCATCCTTGCTGAGGGACAGGCCTTTGATTAGGCTTCCTTGGCAGAACTGTCTTCCCTCACATGCCCTGACCATTCTAGACCCATCTAGATCAGCCCACCTAAGACATAGTGATCAGGAGCCAGGCTGCCTGAGTTCAAATCCTAGCTCCTTCATTTATTGATTGTGAATTCTTGGTCAAATTGTTTCACACTTCTGTGTGTCAATTTCCTTAGCCATCATATGGTGATAATAACAGTATCCCTCTCTTCAAATGAAATGATTTATTTACAGTGCCTTGTACAGAGCAGGTGTTGTTAGTGACTATGATCTGATAAATTAGTTGAGCTGATCATCAATTCATTTATATATTTTATGTGCATAATATTTGCTTGCATCTTGAAGTTCATTTTTCGACTCTTTATTCATAATTTCAAGTTGATGAAGAAATTTCAAGAATAAAGAGGATTATAAAAATCCAGGTGCTTGTGGCCCATACCTGTCATCCTAGCTACTCAGGAGGCTGAGATCTGAGGATTACAGTTCAAAGCCAGCCCAGGCAGGAAAATTCCTGAGACTCTTATCTCCAAATTAAACACCAGAAAATTGGAAGTAGTGCTGTGGCTCAAAGTGGAAGAGCACTAGCCCTGAGAGAAAAAGCTCAGGGACAGCACCCAGGCCCTGAGTTCAAACACCATGATAGGAGAGAGGGAGTGAGAGAAAAGAGAGAGAGAATATGAGAAAGAATATGAGAGAATATACAGCACCCACCAATCACTTGTTTGTATTCCTTTTATCTTTTTCTCTGTCTACAAATATGTCTCATATATTTATATACATACATATACATTTTTTCTGTATCATTTGAAATAAGTTGCATATGTAATGAATATTAGCCCTAAATATTTTTGAAGAGTAAAGATGTTCTCTTAGATAACTGCAATACCATCATTATCAAGCAACAAACAACATTGACAGGATACCTGTTAAGATCTAATGTCTATATTTCCATTGACCCAATAATGACCTTATGGCATATTTTTTCTTCTAGTATGGATCCAATTTGGGACCAGGTATTGCCTTTAGTTAATCTTTAATTGAAGACATTTGCCTATCCTTTCTTTGTCTTTCATTTTTCCACATGACTAGATTCAAAATATGCTCTTGCAGTATGCTACACAAGTGATGTGGTACCCTTCTCAGGGCAGAGAATCTGGATGCACAAATGTTTGCCTTCTTGGGGATAGTAATTTTGATTAGTCTGTCAATGTTTTATATGGATTTTTTGCAGTTATTATATAGTTTTTTTTTTACCATAAAAATGACTAAGCAATTGGTGAAGTCATATTTTCAGACTATACACATATCTTGATCCTTATCAGATCTCCCTCTTAGATATAATATTAATGATTCTTAACTTGACCTACTCTTTACTATGAAGTTCACCAATGGATGATTTTTCCAGTGTTAGCACTCACGCCATATTTACCAGTCAACGCTAAGTCTGCTGTAGGCCAAGGTCCTTCCTTTTACTATCAGTATTTGCAAATGGTAACTTTTCCTTAATGGTAACTGTTCTGATAAATTTGTTGAATTCATTGGGTATATAGCTTCTTTTCTTTATAAGGATTCATTAATTTCTTTTTCTTGGTTGTTGTTTGTTTGTTTTGATCCCAAATGGTTTGTAATTCCTTATCCCAATTATTGTGGTGCTCAGATTCTCCCAGATTTTCTTTTTGGCCAGTCTTGGGGCTGGAACTCTGGATTTGGGCTCCTAAGCTCCTTTTGCTCAAGGCTAGTGCTCTATCACTTGAGCCACAGTACCATTTCTGGCTTTTTCTGTGATTAGTTAGTGGTAAGAGTCTCATGGGCTTTCCTGCCTGGGCTGGCTTCAAACCAAGATCCTCAGATCTCACCCTCCTGTATAGCTAGGATGATAGGTATGAGCCACCAGCACTTGGCTTTAAAGATGTTTTTGAAGGTGGAATCTCAACTGGAAAGCTTTAGGTCACAGAAGAAAACTTGTTTGACTTGTTTCACTCAGACTGTTGTATCATTAAAGTAGCTGGGAGATTGTTTCACAGACCTGGTTCATCTTGCCTAATGGTCTCAAAGTCCTGGGTTGCCTTTGTTTTTTTTTTTTGTTTGTTTTTTTTTTACAAGTTCTAAGGACATTTGTTTATTGTAAACCTCCTGCCATTCTTTTGTAGTTGCTTCACAGAGAACTCAAGAAGAATGAATTCTCAAAGCTCATCCCTGCTGGGAGAGGCAAAGAAACATTGGCTGTTTCATGAGGAGTCCCAGTTTCTTATGAAGAGAAGCATCTTTGGCCAAATTACAGCATGGTGCCTTCTTTTCTTGTCCCAAGGGATATTTTACTGGAAAGCAGATGCTACGCTAGTAGAAAAACACTTGGTAATGTGGTATACTATCATATCATTCTTGCTTTTTTATTGTATCACAAGATTTATTTGGCACATAAAAGTTGTTTTCTTTTGATAGAATGTCCAAGGTTGTTCCTAAATTTCTATGTTAGAAAGAATTGATCTTTTCCTACAGTCTGTAGATTTACAGTGAGTATTTTCTGATCTCAAAAAAAATTAGAAAAGTTGCCTTTTTCTTAAGATTTCCATTTAATGAAAACAGCTGACATTCTACCAGCACTGGTTATGTACATAAGCTTGACATAAATACTGCAAGTTACACTATCTCATTTTTACAATATCTCATTTTTCCAGATGAGAAAACTGAACAGGAGAATAAGTAGTTCATCCACATTCCTACAGTTAGCGGCCAAGGTAGCTTCAAACCTAGTCTAATGCCTATGCTTTCAGCACCATACAGAGACTGACAAAGAGGGTTATTCATTCTTGAAACTTTTTACCTACCTCACATAATGAATGAACACAACAAGCAGGCATCCCAGGTAGAAGGACAAGAAGATGAAGACAATGAAAAGGCTGGATTTCACATACACGGATCCTGAGGACAGAGAAATAACCTTGGTCAGTAGTCCTCAGGAATAGGAGGACTATGTTTGGGGCATGACAGCTTAAAGAAGACACCTTTCTCTTTCTCCATCATCCTCACACACCTATTCTCTGAGTGTCTGTCTTTCCCTGTCATCTCTGTCTCTTTTTTCTTTTCTTTTCTGAGAAAGAAAACACAATGTGGCATAGGTTACACAGCCTTCACTTTATAATTCACCTGCCTTCTTCCTCCAGAGTACTGGGATTATAGGTATGTTCTGCCACCTCCAGCTTAATTCATTTTTAAAGCCCAAGAAACTTTCATTTAAAATGGCAAAGCTATGGAAGATCACTCAGATGTTATTCACTAGCTGCTGCCTTCTTAGTGATGATTTCTAATGGGAGCTGTGAAGGAACTGTTATCTACAGTAGAATGGGTGTGTAGAATTGAATCTACACTCATCCTCAAAGGAAAGTAGAGTCCTTGGCCTCATGCTAGGTAAGCATTCTACCATTAAGACATATGGTTAGCGTGCGCCTTTCTTTGAATTTCTTAGGATGATACCCTCTGAGAGAATGCCGTTAGTATTGAATGTTCTAAAAGATTTCCCGACAGCATTTTCCACATCAAACTCTAGAGCCAACACTAACCTTCAACAGAAGGAATGATGGTCACCTTTAAGTTCTTGGTTCGTTGTAGATTCCATGTCTGATTCTCATTTTCTAGCAAACAAAACAGGAAACAAGGTATAGGCACTATAAGTTAGATATTAAGTTCGTGTCTTGTCTTCTGAACAATTCTACAAGAATGTCCACAATCAACTCTGCTTGTTGAACAAGAACTGGCAGGAAAACCCTTGTTCCAACCTTTCAACAATCTAACATTGGTGATTACAGCTTTCAGTTTGGCCTTTACTTGGATGCATTTTGACGGATATGAGTGAAATGAGAGTACTGCCTTCTTTCTCCACTAGGGAGGGGTTTGACCCTTTTGGCATCTATAGGTGTATGAAGAGACAAGGTGCAAAAACAGAAAGCTATTTCTTCCTTTAGTTTGCTTTCTATTCTAGTCAGTAGAAATTTGTGTTTTTGTTACCTAGTCACCAAAGGACTTGTAGTTAATCAAGGAATATTAGACACTGGTCAAATTCTAGAGTTACATAGTATACTAACAGAAATGTTAACTAAACACCAAGCAAGCCATGTTATACTCACTGATAAATGCCCACTGAGTTGGTGACATGTGGCTCATCTATGTTTTCAGTAGCCCAGGACATTCATAAGTTATTCACCTATCTGTAGATGCCTAAGATTCTACCCCTCATCACTGTGAGAAAGTTATGTTTTTACTGTCTTGTGAAGTGCCGTTCTGGCAACTGGAATGGTGAAACCTAAACTCCACTTGTACATCTTTGTGGAAATGATGATGCCTTGGGAAAGTGTGTAAGATGTTACTGCACAGTGGCAAATATTTGCTGAGTAAAGGATCTGCTGTATAGTGAACTATGTGGCCTGAGGGACTCTAATACTTTTATATCAAGTTGAAATGTTCTAATTGGAGTTTGCAGTACCAATGATATCCTTAAGTTTATTGCTTTTCATTGTGTTTTTATTTTCCTTTGAGTGTGTCTCTCAGGACTGTCTTTCCATTGCCGATGAGCCATTAGAGAGAACATGCTGAACTTTTGGTTTCCCTTTGTCTCCTTTCCTCACTATGTCTTACCTTGGATGAAGAATGATCCTCCGCAGGCATAATCTTCAGGTTTGATCACAAATACCACGAAGAACTGCTCGTCTGGAAAATCCTTCTTCTGTAGGAAATAGCAATCTTAGGCAAGATATGAAAGACAGAGAAGGGAGAAAGCGCAAGGCGGGGATGGGAAGGGGGTGTCCATAGTTGAGGCCATGATGTCGAGCTTGTAGCTGGTATACATGACTAGAATGTGTTTAGTTGCTTCAAATGGGTCTGCTAAACTTCATCCTAAATTGCCACTCACACCCCCAACAAATAGATTGGAATCTTCAGGCCTTTTCTCTAAGAAATCTCTCAGATATATGTCCCTCTATACTATGGGCTTCCTAAAATCCCCAAGGAGAGAAGATCCACTGGCAGAATAGCATTGTTCACAATTACCCAATACCCATATTACCCACAACCCAATTACCCATAGCAATCCTGGTTTTTAAGCCAACCAGGAAGGAAGGAGGTGTAAGGGAGACACCAGCTAGAAATCTCTTTTGGATGCTGATCCAGCGATATACACTATCAAGTCAACATTCCCACTGACAATAGTGATGACAAAGCCATGTCTCACCTGTAGCGTGATGGCAGCTTTCTTGGTCATAGACTGATAGACACCATTAAACTCCACATTGTGGTCAAGGTCATACACAGGGCACTATAGCATCCATGAGGAGTAAAAAGTAAACAGTTCTTCATGTTAATTAGTGAGTTAGTTAAATTAAATTAATGAACTACATTCTATTAGGGCCCTTCCACCTGGATCACAGAGCAAGAGAATCTCATTAAACCAGGATCCAGAATGTTTTCTGCAAAATAGCGATGAAAACATGGTGGCTTGTCCTCTAATGTCAAGGTCGCTTTTATAATGAAGAAAACTATGAAAAGGTTGTCTTAAAATATGCAACATATTTCCCATGTTGTTTTTAGAATACCTTCTGAGCTAGAAAGAACCATTACAATAAAAATTTAAAAAGAACAAACAAGCTTCCATTCTCTTTTTCTCATGGGACTCACAACTTAGTCTTCTTAGTCAGGTGTGATAAATCATCGCTCCTCTGTTTCTTCTTTCCTTGGTTTTGGTGAGCAGTTAACTGTTCTTCCTCTCTCTGTCTTCCCGCCCTTCCCGCCCCTCTGGTTTGAACTCATCATACAGATTGCCCTCTCATGTGCAGAAGATATTAGGTTTTTTTTTGTTTCATACTTTGAGGGGAGATACATAGTAAGAAGATGTCAGAGTTATCCTCTCTCTTTTTTTATTCTAGGATAATATAGTCTTATGCATTAAAAGGTGGATAAGTATCAGCACTTACCATGATGTTCTGGACTGAGACAACAGAACATGGATAAGCCATTTCAGACACCACTTTAATGATAACTGAATCTACTTCTTTGGGAAATTTGTATAGAAAATACTGAAATAAAAGAGAGACGTAATTTATTAATGTTACAACATTGTTCACAGTTATGAGCTCAAACTGTTGTAACATGCCTCAGCTATTAACATGCCTCACTATTAAGCATACAATTTACATACATATCTCAATCAATCTTCATTCTTTGAGTCAACCATCTTCTCACTCACAGTGAACAACTAACTGCTTGGCAGAGGGCTCTATGCCAGACTTCAGGAAATATAAGGCAACATAGCCCTTCACACAGTGTTACTATTCCATTTCATGGTATGGCCATTTCTTTTCCAATTAAACTACACTACACTTCATTCCATTTCCTACTTGAGAAGTTGTATAGCACCATTGGTGTCTTCCACTCCCTACTCCACAGCCTTTAATTTAGGAGTATGCGCAGAATAGAATGAGACATTTATTTCCTTGTGATCATCGTGAAACATAAAGGTCTCTTGGAAAAACAGATAAACCTGTTCTTCAAGAATTTTGACTACTTTCTTATCAGCAAGAATTACCCCTATGTTAATCTTTTCCTGGACTTTTGGCTAAAGAATCCATTGCCTAGTTAGACTATATTAACAAGATATTTAGATTCAAAGACTCAGTCTGATATCTAGCTTCTGAGACACATTCACAAATTTTGGTAAGCAGGGGTATCTCTGAAATTACTTCTCAAATATCACAAGCAAAGACTTTATAATAGAGAGAGGTTATACCAGTTACCTGTATATATTCTAAATCCATCAGAAAAAAGATATTTGCTCTTAAGTTTTAAACATGTCACTAATAAGGAGGAAAGGGGAAATCTGATCAAGAATTATGAATGTGGTAGTTGGATGGGAAGCTATGTCAAGTTTATACTTGAAAAGTTAAGCCAGGCAACAGTGGCTCATGTCTATAATCCTAGCTACTCAGAAAGCTGAGATCTGAGGATCGCAGTTCAAAGCCAGCCCAGGCAGGAAAGTCTGTGAGACTCTTATCTCCAATAAACCACCAGAAAACTAGAAGTGGTGCTGTAGCTCAAGTGGTAAGGCACTAGCCTTGAGCTGAAGAGCTGAGGGACAGTGCTCAGGCCCAGAGTTCAAGCCCCATGACCGACCCCCCCCCCCCAACAAAAAAGTTGAAGAAATTGACACAAACAAGACTGATATCCTAAGACTTTAATAACTCTCTCACTTATTAAAGAGAAGCAAAACATGTTCAAATTTAATTTGTTATTCCAACATCCCTTTGGTACTTCTGCCTTGAGAACCAGTGCAATAAAAATAGAATGTAATCTTCATAATCTGAAGGTTTCTGATGGGGAAAGATTATTTTATGCTGCTGTCTGGAAGTCCCTTCATAAAGATGGGAACACCACAAATACAAAGTTTGATACATATAATTTAGGGCTCTTCAAAAGGTGAGGAGTCCAAATCCCTCTAGGATGTCAGGGAACCCTTCTTTGCCATTCAAGGGCATTACTGTGATTATTCTTTGCAATTATGAGCATCATATATATATATATATATATATATATATATATATACATATATATATATATATATATATATATATACTGATTTTGCATAAGCATTTGTCAATTACTGAAACCTTGTCAACATGCCAGAGTATTACTACTCTTTTTTTTTTTTGTCGGTCTTGGGGCTTGAACTCAGGGCCTGGGTATTGTCCCTGAGCTTTTGTTCTTAAGACTAGTGCTGTATCACTTTTTTTTTTTTTGGGTCCAGTCGTGGGGCCTGAACTCTGGGCCTGGGTGCTGTCCCTCAGCTCTTCAGCTCAAGGCGAGCGCTCTACCACTTGAGCCACAGCACCACTTCCAACTCTTATTTATCTCTAAGTTACCAAAACTCCAAATGAATGTTTTTGATCCCTGCCCTAACAATGTACTTTCATTACAAAGAAGCAAATGGCAATCACTCAAAGAAAAGGCTAGAATTTAGGTGAAAAATCACCATGTGTGCTCTGAATATCTATCCAGTTTCTGTGACCAGTCAGTGCTGCTGCCTGTTTCTATGTATAGAAGTAGAGGAAGACAAAGATTGATGTAGGTTGTCTGAGAACTCACTCTGTCTGAGAACTCACTTATTTGGGTGAGTATGTAAAAACAGAAACTCATTTCTACAACCAGAGGATACAAAATATAGGCCAAGATGGGAACTGTTAAGAGAAAAGCAAGAATTTCACACATATCAAAGACATTAGGTTTTATTAATTTGTTCTAAGTATATTTCAACTCTAGTTTGGAGTTTGTATACAAATTATTTATATGTCAATAGTTACAGACTATTTAAAATAAAAAGAAGCCATAATATGCTTTATCACTGATTTTCAGTGACCTCATATTTGTTCTAGCTTTGCACAAGGATTTATCCTTTCTCTATTTATAGTAAAAGTTGTTACCCCACCCCCTTTTTTAGGTGCCTCCATTGCATCTAGTAACAACTAGAGCTTTCTAAATATTACCTGAATAAAGGCTCAATGCATGTCAAGGAAAACAGATCATGGCCTGTGGTCCTTTCCTGCCACTGGGCGGCAGTGTGTGTGCTGGAGTGACTTTCATTGAAAGCGGGAAACGGAACTCTTATAAAGCAGTGTTGGCCTTTTCTGCTTGTCCTAGACATATAGTAGTTATTGCAAATAAGTGAAACCATGGATTTGAACCCCAAGATAGGGACACAAGAGGTTTTATCTTTCTTGCTGCTGTTTTTAATGTACGTATAGTGTACTGTGTGATTTTTGTTTGTTTCTTTTTTACGTTCTTCCCCTCATGGTATAACCCCTGTTTTCACTGTATTTGATTCTGGTGCCCTGCATCTTGTATACACATTTTTCTTATTTGGAGAGGGGAAGGGAAATAACCAAATGCTGAAATGAGGATACAGGCTGACCCATTGTAACAATGAGATGTACAAGACACTGTGTTGAAAACGAACTTTACAGCTTGAGAGAGAAGGAGGAGGGAGAAGTTGGGGAGGTGGGGAGGGAAGGGATGGATGGTAGGGGAAAGACAAAGGAGAGGGTGACAACACTCAATAGGAAATGTACTCATTACCTTCCTCATATAAGTATAACCCCTTTGTACACTATCTTTACAATAAAAAATATATATTTAAAAAAAGCAGTGTTGGGCATGGGGATGTGGCTCGGTTCATAGATCGTAAGGTCTATCACTGCAAAACAAAAATAGGAATGTGTTCATAAAGATCTGGGACAGTTGATTTGCATGTATATTTCCCAATTTGCTGTATAATAACATCACTTTAGTAACTTGAAGTCAGCCATGGTAGAGAAAATATACCCCAGGAACAGGCAGAAACTATAAATCAGGGCTTTCTCTTTGAGAACTAGTTGTTAAAATATGTAGCATGCCAGCATTACAGCAACTGTAATAGAATTACAACAAACCAGGCCAAAAACTAAGTAGCCATTTATGACCAAAGGTATGTCAAAGAGCCTACAGAAAATTCACAATAAATATCAAGCAATACACAAACATGTTTAAAAGTTGCTGTTGTGTTCATTTTTTTCTTTCAGAAGCCATGAAAGACAAAAGAAAAGTAGGAAGAAATCAACGTTTTCCTGTCTTTATTCTCTTTATGATTGTGGTATAATGAGGAGCACATCCAAAATAGCTAATTCTCCTAATAGTATTTTTTTATCTGTATTCCTGCTCTCTATTTTTCTTTTCTTTATCTTTTTCTTTTTTGTAGTACTGGGTTTGAACTAAAGACCTTGTATTTACTAAAGAAGTACTGTACCATTTTGAGCCATACTCCCCAACTGTCCTGTTCTTCACGACAGGGAAAACTAAATTTATTGCACCAATAATATTGTAAAAAATTTAAATTGTTTCCTCTTGTATTTTTACAACAATTATTGGTACATCTATCTGCCATCATATCTTCATTCCTCCCCCTGCCAACCCCAGCAGGCCAAAAGAACAGAACTTGAATCTTTAACTTTGTTATTCTGTGTCCCCTGCTCCTAGGTCAGTCTTAACACGGAGTCTGGAACATGGTAGGCACAACATGATTTGCTTAATAAGAGATTGTACCAAAGAGCAAATATCATATCTCTCATTTGATAGCAATTAAGGTGATGAAGATTAAATGTCCTGTCCAAAATCCCAGTAACATGAGCAACAATCTAGAATCCAAATCTATGTCAAACTGAGAGATCAAAGACTGCACCACAGGCTGACTCTCCCCATTAGCATAATTTCTGTGAGTAAAACCAACAGGTGGGCTCTTGACCACTTACCTGAGGTTGAGAGGGGCTGGCAGTGAAGTGAAAGGCATTATTTGTCCTATGAAATGAAAGTGGGAAAAATAAAAGTGGAAGTTAGCACCCAAAAGATGATGGGATGATCTCTACAAACCAGTCCTTAGGGAGAGATGTATGTTTTTGTCCTAAGGGATTTTCCAAATTGCCTATCACACCTACTAAAATTCTTCTTCAAGATTTTTTCCTCCGTGGCTTAGGCCTTTTAAGGCCTAGTTTTTATTTGTACTCACTTTCCAAACAGAAATACATAGTGACATATGATTATGAGAGACTTTAAGACAACAGTGCTCCAGGCTCTGCAGAAAAGGGAGTACACAGTTAGCATAAATCTACAGCACTCTGTGGAGGGAATATGTGGGAAATCATTCAAGACACTGGGAGACAGGGGAAAGCAGTTCTCTACAGCTTTGTAAGGGCTACTGTTGGGCTTTTCTCTTTCTAGCTCTTGCCACATCACTTGTTGGCCTTGTAGTTCACGCACACAGGTCGGCTGCACTGCTATTCCCAAGCAAATTGAGATGCTGTATCACTCAGCAATGGGCGCTTCTCCCTGAGCTGTTGGGAGCTGGAGCCTAAATTTCTGAGATAACTTACCATCTTTGTTCCCTGGGGCTTCTGTCCTGAATTTCCTTTATATAAAAAATCAGTCTCAGGGCTGGGAAGATGGCTCAGTGGTAGAGCGCTTGCCTTGCATGCATAAGGCCCTGGGTTTGATTCCTCAGCACCATATAAGCAAAAAGAAAAAAGCCGGAAGTGGCGCTGTGGCTCAAGTGGTAGAGCGCTAGCCTTGAGCTGAAGAGCTGAGGGACAGCGCCCAGCCCCAGAGTTCAGGCCCCATGACTGGACTCCACCCCCCAAAAAATCAATCTCTTTGCAGGGTACTGTGAGAGCCCCCAAAAGCCAAGCTGTGAGGCCCCTAAGGATTGGGAGGATGGAATGCCTCCTCCCAACATGAACTCTCAGAATGCTGAGAGTTTCCTGAAAAGGTCAATTCGGGTCCAACTTGGTAGGAAATTCAGATTTCTATTCTGGGTGTATGTTAATTCCACCCCAAACTTTCTGGGGCTTTAGGGACAGTTATAAGCCTATGCCAATTGTAAGTCCTTTCCTGCTTACATCTACTTCTTAAGCTAAAGAAAGTTATTTATCACTGGAATAAGATTCTACTACATGACTGGTGCTTGTGACTTCAAAGATATCGAGTAAGAGTGTATCACATGATTGGTGCTTGTGACTTCAAGAATAGTGTGACCTCACTTTCTGCACACACACCCCTGTATCCCACTCAGTAAATACCTTGTAAAATATACCTGGGGCGCTTGAAGCTGGTGGAAGGCTGCTGGCCCCTGATGCCCCAAACCTCAGTTCCATGGTCTGGTGGTTTCTGTCGGTCACAGCAGATCACAGGCTGTGACTCCCACCTCTCTTTAATCCTAGCTACTCAGAAAGGCTGAAATCTGAGCATCCCGGTTCAAAGGCAGACTCCTCCCCCTCTCCCCAGAGAAGCCTGTGACACTCATCTTCAATTAACAGACAGCTGGAACTGGTGCTGTGGCTCACAGTGGTAGAGTGCTAGCCATGAGCAAAAGAGCTCAGGGACAGCATTCAGGCTCTGAGTTCAAGGCCCACCAAGGAAAAAATAAACAAATTTAAAAAATAAAAATAAAAGAATGGGCTGGGAAGGTGGCTCAGTGGTAGAGCGCTTGCCTTGCAAGCATGAGCCCCGGGGTTCAATTCCTCAGCACCATATAAGCAAAAAGAAAAAAGCCGGAAGTGGTACTGTGGCTCAAATGGTAGAGCGCTAGCCTTGAGCTGAAGAGCTGAGGGACAGCGCCCAGGCCCAGAGTTCAGGCCCCACGACCGGAACCAAAAAATAAAAAATAAAAATAAATAAAAAAATAAAAGAATTAGTTTTTAAAATTTAATATTCTTCTAGAAAGAGCAATAGAGACATAGAAGCAAAATAAGTAGAATTAAAGGTGTTATTTAGGAATTATGAAATTAGAACACAATTTATCAAAGCAAGAACTATGAGATAGTTTGTCCTTGAGCTGGGCTCAAAGTTTAGTTCACAGCCATGGATACAAGTTTTATATGTACACTTTGGACAAAAATCCCCATGCATGTGGAGGGTTGTTTCTGCTGAAATTCGGTTGAAAACTTTTGATCTTAAGCTTTCTAAAGAAGCCAAAATTAATGTCAAACCCAGTTGTATGTCAGCTTCAGAGAGTCCACAGCGAGGCCAGGACCTGCAGTGCTGTGTGTGGTCTGGGGGGAGTTCTTTCAGCAGTCTGGGGAATGTGACCTGCGGTTACCAGGGCAACACAAGACCTTCAACCAACCCTCTTGTTGTTAGGTCAGAGGAACACAGAAAGAGACACACACAGAGATATCTTGGCTAGCCACAGACAGCATGACATTTCCTGAAGCAACCTGTGTTCTTTGGCCAGAAATTTGATCCTTTTTTTTTTTTTTTAATTCCCTTCCCTATCATTTGAGTTTTAATTGTAATACTGAAATCTGCAGACACCAGTTTGTGGTTTCTGTTTTTTTTTCTTGTTCTATGTGTTAGTGCAATGCACACAACTTTGAAAGCATATTATTTATCTTTAAAACTATTGCATGTGAGTGCTTTGTTTCTCGTGAAGCCAACAGTATGTGCAAAATAAATATTATGTCTGTTGGGGATGGATCAGACATTCTGCTTCTTCCTGCACAGCCCCTAGCAGGGGTGGGGAAGGTTTATTTTATCAAGCGTCACTAGCCAACAATCACAGAGCTAAAACTCAAAGGTACGTTTAGCTTTAGAGAAAGAAGAATCAAACTCTTAATTTATTTGCTTAAAAAATTAAGAACAAGAGAGTCCATAAGATAGAAGAAAAAGAAAGAAGAGATGGGAAGAAGGATTGGGTGGAAAGAGAGACAGGACACAAGTTCAGTGGCTTAGAGGGGAGTTCCACAGAGGACCATCCTATATGAGCAAGCTCCTAACACAGGGCATGGATCTTTCAAACTCCATTTTGTTTGTTGAAGGAAATGATATCCTATTATTCCTGGACTACGGACTCCAGAAAATGATTCTCTCTTATCTCCAGCCGGCCATCTGTCACAAGTTCCCTTCATCAGCTCAAGCTTCCGATCAGTTCACTGGTTAACCCATCCCCTCCCTACCCTCTAGGCCCCTGTATAACCTCTGCACTCACCATTAAATCCTACCCTTTCCACTCTTCTCTGAGACTTTGCTTCTACAAATATCCAGCTCCCCTCCTCATTTAATCTGCCATGCTACTCTTTCCTTAAGAAAGAGACTCTCATCTCAACTACATTTAAAAAAAATTAACAAACTACTCCAATAAAATTTCTCTCTCCTTCTTGTTTCTCCCTCCATTGAGGTCATTCTGTACCATCCTTTCCTTCATAAAACCCAGATGTTCCTATCATCTTCTGGATTTTTGGGTGACTAGCAATGCTGGTAGAACCGCAGAGGGGGGAAACACACGTCTCAGCTATCATCTTTTCTCAGCCTTACCTTGGTCTAAAAAAAAGTCCTAGTAATGCTCTCAGTGTCTGCTGCTGAGACTCGGTCATATTATAAGAGGTGCCAACCAGAAGCAATGTGACAGAATAGATTTGCAGTTTCACCAAACACAAGTCATTCATTAGCACTTGCACAGAACTGTGACCCCATGACTTTAGTGTTACAGAATTCAGTTCTCCAAAGGGTCTAGTTACCTCATCAAAAGCCACCCCTATGATTCCTGTACATTGTCACCGGGTGACAGTGACAGATAAAAGATACCAATGAGTAAGGGCCACGCATCTCTGAAAGTTCAGAGAAGTGCACGATTATTGGCATCAAGTACAATTCCTACATGGTTTTGTTTCTACCAATTTTTAAATTATTAAGTTAAACTTATTCATCATATTTAGAAAGTGCTTTAGCGGCTGGGAAGGGGGCTCAGTGGTAGAGTGCTTGCCTCACATGCATGAGGCCTGGATTCAATTCCTCAGCACCACATACACAGAAAAAGCTGGAAGTGGCACTGTGACTCAAGTGGTAGAGCACTAGCCTTGAGCTGAAGAGCTCAGGGACAGCACCCAGGTCCAGAGTTCAAGCTCCACGACCGACAAAAAAAAAAAAAAAAGTGCTTTTAGGGTAGTGATTCGCAACACTGGCTATATTTAAGGAACTTAAAAAAAAGTGTGTATGTATATATAAATGTGTGTGTGTGTGTGTGTGTGTGTGTGTGTGTGTACACCAGTGTCTAAGCTTCCCTGCTAGAGATTCTGATTTCATTGATCTGAGTGGGTCTTATCCACCAGAGAATATGTTTCCAATTGGTTTCCTGAGGAGGTGGGGGAGAAGAGAGTATTCTTTGCTATTAAGATAATCACAACATCACAATATTAATGGAGAGACTTGGAGCAGAAAGCTGTGGATGCTTTAATTTTATGGGAAGTCATTCGTCCATTTATCCATCCATCTTGGTGGGTATTTCTCCATGTCAACGGTATAGAGAAGAGCAAGATAAAAATTTAATTCTTATTAACAACTCCACTGGCTACAGACCTTTTTATAAACATCTCTAGAAAAACTTAGAGCTATATAATAGAACATTCTGATCAGATAAACTGCAAAAGAAAATGGCATGTACTATTTAAAGTAGTCTTATGTTTTAAAGAATTGATTTTTTTATTGAAATATAATAAAATATAGAAAGTACATATGTTAGAGCATATATCTGAAAGAGTTATCATCAGGTAAACAAAGCCATTATACTTATTTCTTATTCAATATCTAATATCACAGAATAGTTTGCCTGGCTTTATATGTTATATGTAATATAATGCATTGATTCCATATATATAATATATATTATATTGATTCCATATATACCATGTGTCTATACATATGGAATCAAATATACATATATGGAATCAAATAACATGCATTTCTTTTGTCTGGCTGCTTTTGCTCAGCACTGTAAGACCTATTCTGGTAGTCAGTTATTTCAATAGCTTGTTCATTTTTACTCTTGTTTATATTCTACTACTAAATGCCACAATTATGCACAATCATGGGTGGATAACTAAAAGTGGCATTGTGTCATTGGGTCGTTCAAATTCTCACACTTTGGTGTTGTAATGGAATCTCATTTTCAATTTAATAATTTATCCTGCTAGCTAAGGAAGATGTGTTATTGGTCTGTATGGAAAGCTTCTTTGGTGAAGTGTCCAAGCATAATGCCTATTTTGTTTCAGTAAGGTTGCTAGTTTGTCTTATATTTAAAACAAAACAAAATGAAACAAAAAAAAACAAACTCAGGAACATAAACAATAAGGGTCACTCCAGAGAAGGAAAAGAACCACATTCTTATCTACATTCCTAAACTGGAAGGAGCAAACTGATAAGGACAACCAAACAAGCTTAGTGTTTTCCTTAATGAGGAAACAAAACTTCCTTCAAGTGTATGGTCATGGTTAGCCATAGTCACTGCCTAACGCTCCAAGTCAGCAGTAACTCTCACCTGAAGTACATAGAGAACTGGTTTCTCACTCAAACCCCCAAGCAGATATACCTATGGGGTCATTCTGTCTTTTATTTGGCACCAGCTGCTACCCCTTCCCCCTTTCACAGATTAAGGCCTTACTGGGCAGGAGACTTCAGAATTAATATGCTAAGTGGCTAATTTCCTTGCACAGTGCTAATCTACATGGACAGAAGCACAACTGAACATCCACAGACACAGAAGACAACACACAGAGAAAGGCCACGGGTCCTACTTACTGGAGCTGGAAGTGCTTGATCTTGGTGACCAGCAGTTTGTAATGGGCACCAAGTGGTGCCATGGATGCAACATCTACAAAGATCAGTTGCTGCAAAGGTCCTGTTTTGTTTGTTGCTGTGGAGGGACATAAGGTGCGGCTGACTTCCTGGTAGTTGTAGCTCCTCTGGTATCTGAAGCAACAGTGGGCAATGGCAGCAAGAACAAGAAGTCTCAGTGAGCACACAGGAAAGCCTTTCCATGCTACGTCTGTACAAATTTGCTTTCTAGTACTTTATGCTCTGACCAGGTCACTTAGCAACATCCACTATGATTACACTCAGTCACCTTCCTAATTCACTGAGGAAAAGTATGAACTTCTAAGAGGGGAAACTGCCCTGTTCAATTACCAGTTCATTCTATTTTTCTACCCTTTGATTTTTTTTTTTTGTTAAAGGTAAAGAAAACCCTGGATCCAAGTTAAACTTGACAGAATTAGTATTTCAGTCCTCAAATTCCTAAACAGTGTGTGTGTGTGTGTGTGTGTGTGTGTGTGTGTGTGTGTGTGTGTGTGTGTATGTGTATTGGGACTAGAGATCTGAACTCAGGGCCTCATGCTTGCTAGGCTGCTTGCAATACTACTGAGCTGTATTCCCAACCCTCCCCAACCCTTTGAGAATGATGTAATACCATACATGCTGCCCACTTCCATATGCCTTGGATGCTTTTCTCTCTTATTTTTTAATGCTCACAAGGCCTCAGAAAATTCACCTCTGCAAAAAATATGAGGCTAGGAACTTTACTATTATTTTTCACTGTAGTATCCCAGCACTTACTGCTTAGTAGTGCTCTCTACAGGGTAGCAAAGATGTGTACATGGCGGATATGTTGAAGAATGAGGTTGATGTTTCTTATTCGTGTTGACTGTTGGGCCTCATTCACTGAAAGGCTACAAAGTGACCCACTTTTAAAAAACATTTTAGTAGAGTGATAGCTTGTAAAGTGGTGTAAAGTTCTTCCAGGTGCTTAAAACTAAGTAGAATGGTCATCTGAAATTTTGAGGGGATGGGAATCGAGCAGCTTCATTTGGCATGCAACATATCTCAGCGTTCTCATGTCTGATTTCTCCATCTGCTTCATAAAAATCAACGGATGTCTATCTAGGTCATTGAAGAAAATCAAATGAAGTGAAAATGTCTGGGAAAGACCACTTACAGTCCTTGGAAGAGCAGAGGAACTTGCCAGGACAGCACCTCTTTCTGCTGGCGAACCACAACTAGGACTGGGTAGTCAAGGTTCTCCGAGGAACTGTTCACATGCACACGTACGGCGGTCACCTGTGTGAGAAGACAGAAAGAAGTAGTGCGAGCGCACACACGCACGCGCGTACACACACACACACACACACACACACACACACACTCACACCTTCACTTAGGAAAAGTGATTCCTGACATTGCATCTCCTGATCAGAGACGCCAAATGTTCCAGCTGTTTCTTCTCATTAGTCTCGAAACAACTTTGACTACTTTGAAACTGTCCCCAGGGAAACTAAAAAACATTGATAACAGGTTCCAACCTGCCAAAATTCTGATTCAGTTGCTTTGGAGGGAAGCCAATTAAGGAAATTTTCAAATAGTAGGCTGAAGAATTTGAATACAGTGGTTAATAGAAAGGTTTTGAGAAGCCCAGAACAGAAAAAGAACAATATTGATATCCTTCCTTATAATTTGAACATAAATATAAGTATCTAAATCCACCTTCCTCAAATTACCTTATACAACCCTCACCTCCAACAAACTATAATGTTGTTTTAGTAAACCATTCTCTATTTCAAACCAAATGATTAAGGCTTGTTTTATTACGGCCTCACTGATGGTCTATTCTTCCTACTGACAAACAGGATGCTTTCCAGGAGCAGGTGGTCAGGGGTCAAGCTCTTCTTTTTGCTCTGACAGGAAAGAATCTTTTCTATCAGCAACTCTGTGGCTTCTTCTGAACCCTTGTCAACCAAAGATTTAATCTTGTCACAGCTGTTTCAAAGCTAAGAAACTGGACTTTGCTCCTAGGGCTGGATGGTTTGGTGTTTTCCTTCAATTTTTTTTTTTTTTTTTTTTATAATACCATGGGCAATGGGGAAGAGAACAAAAAAGAAAGGCAAGGTAAATTTTGATCTTTACATGATTTTTTTTCTTTTTTTGCTTGTTTCTTAAAAACTTCTTTATTAGTTGAAAATAGAGCTAGATAAATTGAAAAGAAGGGTAAGGTGGGAGAGATGGGAGAGAATGATGGAAGGGGTGACATTAATAAGATATATTCTGCTCATCAATTGATCTGTTTAATTGAAACTCCCTTGTACAGCTACTTAAAGATAATAAAAATATTTTACAAATAAAAGAAAAATAAAATTAAAAACCTTTGTTAGGGGAAAGAAACAAAATTCTCTAATTAAATTCTTTTTTATGTTTTATTGTTATTATAAAGGTGATATACAAAGGGGTTACAATTACATAAGTCAGGTAAAAGGATTATTGATTGATTCATTGATTGATTGCTGGTCCTGGAGCTTGAACTCTGGGCCTGGGTGCTGTCCCTGTGCTTCTTTTGCTCAAGGTGATCACTCTACCACTTGTGCCACAGCACCACTTCCAGCTTATTTGAGTAGTTTATTGGAGATAACAATCTCATGGAGGTTCCTGACCTGATAGCTTCGAACTGAAATCCTCAGATCTTAGCCTCCTAGTTAGAATTATAGCTGTGATCCTGAGTTTTTTTGCTCAAGGTTAAGTACTGTCTGAGCTGCAGCTCCACTTCCAGTTTTCTGGTGGTTAAGTGGAGATAAGAGTTTCATGGACTCCTGTCTGGGATGGCTTGGAATTGTGATCCCTAGATCTTAGCTTCCTGAGTAGATAGGAATACAGGCATGGGCCACCAGTGTCTGGCAAAGGTACATTCCTTTGTGGACAATGCCACCCCTTTGTAATTAAATTCTAAAGATCTATCACATTCAAAATGGAAATTGGAAAGAACAGAACAACATAGGCATAAATATTGCTACTTAGTTCTCTTTAATCAAGCTATAACTTCACTTCTGTAATGTTGGCACAGTTCAAAAGTAATTTATTAATTTGATAAGCTGCGCTTGCTCTTGAAGGGACTGGTTCTACATGTTTCTATAGAAATTATGCTGCAGCTGATAACTGCTAAAACCGTATCTTTACTATAGATCTCTTTCCTCAGATCTGGGAGTTTCACAAGAGCTACCAACCCCGTCGGTGTCAATGGAACTTACTACTTATTCTTTTCACTCTTAGCTTTCATTTCTTTTTAAATTCCTTCGCTAGATGAATGTTTTCACCATGCAGTCATTTACCTAATTCTGAAACCTGCCATCCTCTATTTCCTACAACTTTAACTTCCTCAAGCAATAATTTTACTCCTTCCTAACTCTGTCATCGACCTGTCCCCCCAGTACTTCCCTCCATCTCCCAGTGATACCCAGACCTCAGTCCTTCATACTCATGTTTCCCCTTGACAGTCCCCTGTGCATTCTTCCTAGCACATGGCTGCACTGTTCTATTTACCGCAAAGTAACAAGAAGACTATAATGGATAGTCATGTGGGTATCCCCCATCTTTACTATTAACAAATGCATTTTATTTCATTCATCTCCTATTCCCAACGTCCCTTCCCTGAAGTATTTATTTTTAATATTATTGTAGAGGTAATATACAGAGGGGTTACAGTTACATATGTAAGGTAAGGTAATGAGTACATTTAAGAAATTATTATGTTTAAGTGGTTGTACAAGGATATTCCCATTCTATACAACAGTATATGAATACAAAGTGTCTGATAACATTGTCACCCATTGCTCTTAACTCACCCTTCTCGCAACTTTTCTTCTTTTATCTTAATTGATAGTAGGTGATTACTTGCATATATCACAGTATTGTGGAATAGTGATACTTAGTTAAAGTCATAAACACATTTTAACCTTCACAAGGCAAATTGTCATTATCATGGTCTATAAAGTTTGTGAATTCTATGAAATACAATTATTTCTTCCACATTTCTTTCCTTTTGCTTAGTGTAGGCTGTTCCTTCTTTTCCTCTCATTCCTTCCTTCCCATCACTGTCTTTGGGTTGCTTGCTTTCATCTATGTCCAGTGCAGCTGACGGCACCTCTGCTGTATGTTTTCCCGTTTCCCACTGATTCTGTGTCTTCCTTCTAGCTTCCTTCCATTGCATGCATGTGTGTGTGTGTGTGTGTGTGTGTGTGTGTGTGTGTGTGTGTGTGTGTATACATTCCATATATGTGATCAATAACATGGAGTCATTTAGCAATGATATGACAAAATGAGTGGCTGTCTTTTGCTTCTCGAGTCCTGTTTACTTTGTCATATCTCTTTGCATTTTGGCTTTAGCATCCACATATCAGGGAGACCATGTGCCATTTTTCTTTGCTCTTGGTTTACCTCGCTCAAAATGATTTGCTCTAGTTCCATCCATTTCCCTGCAAATGCCATTATTTTGTCCTTTCTAATGGCTGCATAATATTTCATTGTATATAGGTACCGCACTTTTTGGATCCATTCATCAATAGTGGGGCATCTGGGTTGTTTCCATATCTCAGCTATTGTGAACAGGGCTGCAATAAACATGGAGATGTATGTGTCCTTGTATCCTGGTTCCTGTTGCTCAGGGTAGATGCCTAGGAGTGGTCATAGGGGAGGTCTATATTTAGCTTTCCAAGGTACCTCCAGACTGCTTCCCAAAGTGGTGGTATTAGTGTACATTCCCACCAGCAATGCAGTAGAGTTCCTCTTTCTCCACATTCCCTCCAGCATTTGTCTTTGGCTGAATTTAGTATATTTCTTTTTGAACGACGTTATCCCTTCCCTCCTTTGCTCCCACTCCCCCCAACTCCCCTAACTCCAAGTTGTAAAGTTTATTTCCAACATAGTGTCTAGTGAGTATCACTGTTGCATAGGTTCACCCTGTGACTTCCCTAAAGTATTCTGACATACATGTAAAAGAGTCTATCATTTAATCTGTAAATAGTTCAATGTACATCTCTGAGAGATAGAGTATCACTTACTCTCCCCTCCTTCTTTTGCGGGTGCTGGTGCTTGAACTCAGGGCCTGGGCACTGTCCCTTAGCTTTTTCACCTAAGGCTATCACTCATCTGCCACTTGAGCAAAGCTCTACTTCTGGCTTTTTGGTGATTAATTGGAGATAAGAGTCTCACAGAGTCTTGTCTTGAGAAACTGTTGTCCTCAGACCTCAGCCACCTTAAGCAGCTAGAATTACAGTGGTAAGCCAATAGTGCTCGCTCACTTATCTCATGAAACTCAACGTGAAAGGTTCTTCTCCCACTTTTTGATAAAGGTGGGTGGGACACACGTTTGTTAGGGAAAGCAGTTCACAAAACAGTGTTTTGTTTTTTGTGTTTTGATCACCGGGCTTGAACGCTGGGGCTGGGTGCTGCCCCTCAGCTCTTCAGCTCAAAGTGAACATTCTACCACTTGAGCCACAGCACCACTTCCAGTTTTCTGATGGTTTATTGGAGATATGAGTCTCACAGACTTTCCTGCCCAGGATGGCTTTGAACCGTGGTCCTCAGATCTCAGCATCCTGAATAGCAAAGATTACAGGCGTGAGTCACTGGTGCCCTGCAAAACAGTGGTTTTTGTGAAGCACTCTCATTCTGGATTTTGCTGACTATACCCTGGACAATAGGGACCAGGTCTCTTTATCTCTGATTTCATGCCAATTGGCAATTAGGCACAGAAGCTTGCTTAGATTCAAGTATTTCACTTTCTCACTCTTTTCCATGAATTCTTGAGTTATGGTCAAGAAGTTTCACTAAATCTTTGTTACTTGGTTTACTTTCTTCTTTTTACTTATTTTCATTTTACTTATCTATTCTGCACTTGATGACATTTGTGCTATTTCCATTTTTGTATACATTTGTATACATATGTTTGTACGTTTTCACTTCTTTTGGGTATATTTTCATAAGTAGAATTACGGGAAACATGACCACAAAAATATATGGTTACAAAAACTTACATTTCTGATACAGTAGCAATCCACATGAATTTATAGTACAAACGATAAATTTTATCTTTTTAAAATACAGCTCTCCAGTTACCCAAATATCACTATTTAAATTTGTTTTACCTTCACTGAAGAGCATTGATCTCTTCCCTGCTGCCACTCTTTTTTTTTTTTTTTTTACTGGTCTTGGGCCTGAACTCTGGGCCTGGGCGCTACACCTCAGCTCTTCAGCTCAAGGCAGGCACTCTACCACTTGAGCCACTGCACCACTTC